TTTGGATAAGACTCACAGACTCCACTACCTATCATGTAGTCGCTTTTGCTATCTCTGTGTGGAAATACTGGTGGGTTGAATTTGCTATGGCATATTGTATTGCTGCATTGATTTTACATCATATAACACCTGGCTACCAGTATTAAAAAATATGGCTACCGGTATTTTAAAAACTATAAAATCGGGACAGTAAATAAAGAGCAACACTAAAAAAACAGGGAAATTCCAGACAGGAAACAATCAGGGCCAGCTATCACCTCCCAACAAAGGATTTCCCTGGCAGCAACCAGCCAGGCTTTGAAGCTGTAAGGCTATTCAATGCTAATCAATGTGACCATTTGCAACGTTCACACTTACCTCAAAGAGACAATAGTTCTTTCTTCCACCCTGGACATTCCACAGATATATAAACCTCACTTGCCTAGTTTCCAGCACACCCCTCAACCTCTGATGATGTCTGTCATAGGTGTGGTTGAAATGCCAGGAGAGAATGCTTCTGGAATACCGCCCAAAAAATTCACAGCTTTACATTTACTGGATTTTTTTCTTTTGCACAATTTCTAATAGTACAAGGTCCCTCTCCTTGGTGGCATCTGATCAATATACAGCGACTTTATGTTTTTATATAACCTAAAGCAGTGTATGCTTATACTATATAATATCTATGATTTGGAATAATGAAAATTTAGTCTGCAAATACATGTCCAGATGAGGAGTGGAAATGAAATATTCTGGGAGAGTTTCCACAAGGGAAACTCCAGTAACCATTTAGGAAAGAGAAAAGTAAACTTTGTTTATGATATGCTATCTTTGATTCTTTTTCAAGTGGAAAGACTGACACAAGCCAGCAGCATCACTGTGCCAAGATATATTCCAGGAAAACTCTTAACACAGTATACAATGTCCCAAAGAACTCAGCAAGGCCCTGACCTTGATTTCAGTGAAGCCGGGTAAGTTATTTTAACTACTCTAACTTTAACAGTGAAATTCCAAATATGCTTAAGAAGTGTAAGCCATAATGAATTCAATGGGACTTTGTCATTGTTGTATGCCTTTAAGTCCATTCCAACTCATATAGCATCCCTCTCACAGAGTTTTCTCAACCAGATTTCTTCAAATGAAGTTTGTCTTCCTTTTGGGCTAAGAATGTGCGACTTACTCTAGATCAGGGCTTCTTAAACTTTTCCACTAAGGACCCCTTTCCCCCCCAAGAAATCTTTATGTGATCCTACATATATAGGTATATAAAATAGGAGTAAAAATAAAACATTTGCTGATATCAAATCAGAATTTATGAGGCTTGCTAAACAGGCTGATTTTCCGTTTCATGCAGTAGAGCTAAAGCACCTTCTATGGAGTTTACTGAAAATAATAACAGATTACTGTAAATGTCTAAAACAGCCACTAGGTGGTATTCAGATTTTTTTTCAGAATCCCAATCTTGAGCTAAGGCAGGCATGGACAAGCATTGGCCCTCCAGATGTTTTGGATTCAAACTCCAACAATTCCTAACAGCTGGTAGGATGTTAGGAATCGTGGGAATTGGAGTCCAGAACATCTGGAGAGCCAATGTTTGCCCATGCCTGAGCTAAGAGGACCTCATTTGGGCTCAGGACCCACATTTTAGAAGCAAATACCTTAGATCACTTTATGGGCAATAATAATAATGGGTTCCAAAGGCTGATATCAGCTTCATTCGGCATTACGTTAAAACACGAGAGAAGGTACTGCATTAAACTTTTAGCCATTATGTCATAGTGTTATCCAAAACCCTGAAAGTGGAGGTTCACAATGAAACTATGGATCATAATTTGTGCCAATCATAGAAACGTCTATTGTACACCAATGCCTATAAAAAGCCCAAGTCTGGGTACATAAGGCATGTCAGATCTGCGAAAATTCCCCTGGCATCCTTCCTTGGCCAACTAAATAATAAAGCAATCTCTGACTCTGCTCTCCATCCTGCATGTCTTCATTGGAACCAATAAGAGCTTGAGATGCTGGGCGAACCTCAAGAAGCAGTACCCTGAAACTTACATTAAAATCTAGTCAGCCATCCAGAGCAAGAGAGGTCTGTGCTGCTACTGAATGGGGCCCACTCCTTCCAGCAAATGATGCTCTCCAATGTCTCCATATTGTCCTGTAGTTGTCCACTGAACAGCAGCACAGACCTCTGATGCTCTGTGTGACAGACTGGCTTTTAAGGTCATTTGCACTCTTAGCAATGAGGATACTCTTGTAAATGAGGATACTAAGCTCTTATGATGTTTCAGATCTAATTTCCAGCATTGTAATTGACTAAGAGGATGCTCCTCATGCTTTTCTTAAATTAAAGCCGTTAGGATCTAATAATTTTCCCAATTGTGGTTTTAAATGGAATCACTTGTTTTAAATACATGAGCCTGTATGAGGAGAGAAGATGCAAAGAATATTCCGCTACTTAAGGGAAAGGGGGGGGGGGTTTCTATATGTCCAACATGCCCCCCCCCCCCGTCTCAAAACCCTTTATTTGTTTCTCGCACATAGTCCTGAAATAGACTCGCCTCCCAATGTCACATGTTTAGTGGCAATGAGAGACTCAGGAAAGGATCCTTAAAGCCTATAGTCCCCAGCTCCTTGACTGCCTCCTCCTTCTCTGATGTTGCTTCAAGCAGGTAAAGCCAGGATTCTTTTTGATTCTCCTATGCTGTTATGCAACTTAAGATGGAGAGTCTAGTTATGGATTAGGAGAAACAAGGACGGGCTTTGAGGAGAAGTCACCTCATTTGGGATTCTCAGATTTTCAAGTCACTTTCTCATGGAAACAAGGATTGGTAATAAAGCTTCAGTGGAGACACCATTTGTCTATGATAATTCTTACAGTAGAGAATTTCCCTTCTTAGTGGTAGAATTCTTCTCACTTCCTGTTGTCTCATCCCTTTTTGTAACTAGGAATTGCATGTAAGTTGGATGCTCTTAACTCAAGAACTGCATTCATACTGTATAATATTTAAACAATTATAGTCGTGTTCATATATAACATATACACCGCTGGTAAAATTTGCAGAGATCTTTCTTGATATTGCAGATTTACTTCCCTTGCAAAACCTGTTCTCATTATTTTCTTCTCCTATCCTCCAGTAGCTTTCAGATAAAATGGAACAATAGATCTCAATGGCAGATTTTGTAGTTCCTGTCAGAGGGCAAGCACACATTTTGTTTTAATGCTTTAATGGCTTATTGTTTGCGTCTTGTTGAAACTGGTCCAGCATTTTGTACTTTGATGCCTGATGGGCATATTTGGCAGTGGCACCTGAGTAAGAGGACATTGTCTGTAATGTAATACCTTTCCTCTAAAGACTGGGCTCCAGGAACTACTTCAGTGCATGCCTGTGTATGCCCAAATATTTGGAAATATGTGCCATTTTACTTGGGTATAACTGCACCACAGCCACAGGCATAAGTTGGTCAAGCAAGAATAATTCTCTGTACCACCACTTCTGGTAAAAGTATTCTTACAAAGTACACTGGAGGCCTATTCTAAATCTAATCTAAAATAATTCAGCACCCCACTAGTAACACCGAATGCCCTACATTCTATAGTAATTTCTGTCAAGAATAGAACTGTTGAATCTACTGGATTTACCTATGTATATTGACTCACCAGTCAACAATTGACTCAATAAGTCTATTTCCATAACCAACAAGATTCATGTAAAAGATATTTTCTTTCTGAGCTACAAACAGCAGGGTGGATAATATCTAGCTCTGCATCCCTAGCTAATACAGCCAGTGGATGACCAAAACTGCCATCCATCAATATTGTATTATGATGCTTCCCAGAAATTCTTGAGTAGCTTTAGGTTGCAACTCAACTTGAAATTGCTTGTGGGTAACCTTCACTTAATTCAGTGGGAGTGACTTCCAAGCCAACATGCATAGGACTGCACTGAACCAGCGGGTAGAAATTAATTAATGGGAACAGAGGAATAGGCATATTAGGACAAAAATAGTATTTTAATAAAAATTTAGCAGAAATACATCCTTCACTACATCGTCCACCCAAGAAACCATTAGTAAGTCAAAGGAGGAAAGTTCTTGATCTTCTTCCTGTTCCTAGCAGAGTGCAGAGAGAAAGAAATTTATCAAAGAATAAAATACAGTAAAGCCAGACAAAGCAATCCCTTCACGTTTTATTAGATATGTCAGTATACCTCTTTAACCCCCTCGCTTAGCAAAGTGCTGAACTAAAGTTGTGTTTTCCAGTTATTTCTTGTAACAGAAGAGCTGGCATCACTTAAAAAAAAGTAAAGTCCAGTCTGCCTAAAAACCAATACCTAATTAAGTAGCCACCTATTCTTCCACAATCCAGAGCTTGGAAGTAATGTATTAAAAACAGTAACAGTAAAGTTATTCTGCTGAATATGAGGGGGGGGGGGGGGGGAGATAATTTCCAAAAGTGTTCAGGTTCCTTAGGCTGACTGTGTGAGAAAACATTTATATTATTTCTAAAGTATATGTTATGACTGCGTACCTTAATATCATGTACTGTTTTATGCACCTCTGTATCATGGGCTGGGTGGTGTAACATAAAATTAGTACAAATGTATTTCACAAAGATAGGCCGTAGATCATAAAGATATGAAGAAAATCACAGAGTAATGCTAATTGTAATGCATTGCTTCCAAATTCTTCAAAAAATACATAATGTCAATCTGTTATTTTAAGAACACTAAAAAGTAATGGATTGCTTTAAAAAATTATTCCAAGCTCTGCATTGAACTACAACTTATAGCACTTTTAGATATTTTAGTATTAATGGATATGCCCTTAGATGAGAGTCATGGGGCATTAGAGGTTATGTCACTCATTTTCAGTTAATTATGTCTGATACTTCCATTATTCTTATTTTCCCCAACTCTCAAAACTTTTTACAGCCTGAACTCTAGCATGAGTCCAATACCTCTTTTACATACATATATTATAAGTAAAGAAAAATAAATAATGAATATCACCACAAATGACATTTGGATAATTTCTTTAATAAAATACTTCATTGGATTCAGTGTAATAACATCTGGATACGGAAACATGATCAAAATTATCCTATCTACAATTGCCATTAGAAATATTGCAAAGTTCCTGTCATGATTTAGTGTTGTTGATTTTTAATTCAAAGGTACAATTTTAACTTTGTATTGCAGCATTTAGATTTATTTTATTATAGAACACCCAAAAAATTCACTGTTTTGGTACGTCAAAATAAACACAGTTTGGCAAATGGTCATTTATCCTTCTGGTTTGATATGCTGTTACATAACCACAGAGATAACAACAGTTTTCAAAATGTTTGCGTATGAAACATTGATATTTAACTGTTTTAACTATGGGTTAATTTTAATGTGTGGTATAGCTGTCATGATGGGGGAGTGGGAAGAGGACATTGGCCTTTCCAAATAAGAATTCTAACAAAACAAATTTATTTCAATCCCCACATTTCAAGCATTGCAGTAACGTGAACTTGAGTTGAGTATGATAGTACTACAATTTAGATGTCAACGGAAAAGAGGCAGGCAAATGTACCAAGCTCCTTGAAGGATATCTTTATTGTGCACCTTATAAAGATGAATGTGATGACAGATTATGGGCATAGACACAAACACTTTTTCCTGCCTGCCCCAAAGAAGTAGCATCAGAGCATTCCATGGAGGACGAAAAATTATATCAAATGGTAACTGTTAATGGCACTTCACATTTTAGGCTTTTCCTCTATGAAAAAATGTGTAAAATCTGGGAATAACAAAGACCTATTATATATTGCCACCAGCAGCATTTCTGTCACCAATTGCCAGGATGCACTCCACAGTCTCCAAGGAACACAAGGGAGTGAGCAGATGTTGCTTCACATTTTGGCTTATTTTTTTACCTGTGGTTGCTTTAAGGATTAGAACAGAAAACAAGAAAGGCGGTAAACATTTTGGTAGGCTTATCTTTTCTCTGTAAGTGCTTCTAGGATGAAAACAAGAATGGTCGCAAACCTTTCACCATTATATACACACTTTGCTTTGGTTAGTGTGACACTAAAGAAAATATAGAACAAAAATTGGGAGTCTACATCACTATGTTGCAGTGGCTGGGCAGCACTAATGCTGTGTGTTAGGTTCACCCCACAGGGGCTACCCACAACAGCTCAAGCAAAATGTGACTTCTGAAAGCACCTAAATGCTACAGAATGTGTAGAACATGTGGAACATCTTCCTGCTTGTTTCCACTGATGCTTGTCGTCAGATTTTCTAAGTCCCATCTGGAGAACTTTCTATTCTCTGCAAGCAATAAGATTAAAATATTGTAAGATGTAGTCAAATATGTTTAAAGTATTTTAAAATCTTAATAAGACAAATAATTTTCTATGGGGAAAAATATGTCCTAGATGCATGGTTTGCTAGGGAAATGGTACACTGCACATTATATGTTAAATATATACATTGGCTGGCATTCAGTTCAATGTTTACAATATTGTAAGCCAACGTTCTGACATCATAAATATTGCAATTCGCATTTATGATCACAGCACACTTTCCATGACTGTGAATGTTCCCAAACTCACCCAAAAACCCAGGCAGATGAACCAACTATAGGAGATCTGAGCCATTGGAGAGTAGGGTGCTGCACAATGATGCGTCCAATCCTTGCAGATGTCTTTGCAATGCTTTGTGCATGATGCTTCACTGGTGAGAGGAGCCTGGTGCATCATTGTTCAGGACCTCGCTCTCTAATGCCTGATAATCCCTTTGATTGGTGCAGCTGCTTGCCTTCTTGGTGGATTGTGTGGAACTAGGACACCCAATATAGGAAAGACAATGGAACCCCATCACTGATAATGCAGGGTTTGCAATAACATTACAAAATATGTATCCACAATTAACAAATAACAATATTCTGCTGAAGGACTACTTTGGATCTAGAATGTTGGTGGCAACTGTGGTTTCCTGTTCTTACCTGACCATAAATCCAAAGAATAGTGGCAGCCAGTTTACATAACAATTTAAACATTTAAGGACCATTGATGGGGGAAATCTGAAAGTGGTTCACAGGCTGCAACTATCCAACTCTGTTGTTCCCACAACTGCATGCAGGATTCAGCTTTTATCATATATTAATAATTTTTCCTGCTAATGGCAACTACCCATGACATTTTCATCCCCTTATCCACAGCTATCATGCATCAAGAAGGAAGACAGATGTTAACTTCAATGTAAGCTCATTTGAGCAGGACTGGCTGCATAGCTAACTTTACTTCTGTGCATTTATGGAGTTTTTCTATGTCTCACAGACTCACTAACATCAAAATATTGCTTATGATATTTTAAACTACTGTATTATTTACTGAAATATCACATCCCATCTAAGATACTGAATTACCAGGAACTAAGGAAAGGCATACACATCCCCTTCTAAGGGTGCATCTCCACTGCAGAATTAATGCAGTTTGAATATGGAACCCTGAGATTTGAAACTTAGTGAGGCACTAGTGCTCTTTGCGAGAGAAGGCAAAAGGCCATGTAAAATTACAGTACTCAATACCATTGAACAATGGCAGAAAGTGGAGTCAAACTACAGATTTTTTGCAGTATAGATAGAACTGAGCTTCAGATTTCTCCCAGAACTTCTTCCTTTAATTTATCCAGAATAAAATCAGGGACATATTTGAATAGTAGAATCTATTCTAAAATATGGCATTCTTTACTCCTTTATCAACTTGCCATTTAAAATATAACATGTACACTGCATTGATTAAACTTAAAACACATTTTTATCAGGCCAACTACATGAAAAGGGCAATTCAAGATGATGGAGGGATAAGAGTTGAAGAGGGAGTAGCAGAAGAAATCAAGTTGTACTGCTGGAGCAAGTCAAACACAATACCAAATTAGTCTTTGGCGAAGTAGTTGTCTCATCGTTAAGATATTTCCTTTTAATATGTTTTCAGAAAATGGTAGTAGCTATTAAATAGCACAGAAAGATTGCCAGCTCCGATTCCAGGAAGGAAACCCCCACCCAGTTCCTCTCTGAGTAATTCAGCCTTTGCTTATGATGGTTTCTAGCTTGAGACAAAATTCTGTATAAGGAAAGAGTCTAATGAGAGTATTTTATTGAGAAAGAGAGAAAGACCACAGCATGGTGAGGGTGAACACATCCAATATTCTGCTGAAGACCCACAGAAATCTGGAATGGACCTTCTTCTTGGTAGCTTTCCAGTTGCTGTGGATCTTCTTCCCCTTGAAAACAGGTCACACCCGAAATCTTAGCATTTCTTTTATAGTAAATTAAAGTCACACAATGCTGTTTTGGAGTATCTTTGCTATGATCAACTCTTCTGAGATCCAGAGGCAGATGTTAATTTACAGTGAATTGTGATGAGTTACCTCCAGTTTCTTCATACAATCAGATCTGTTTACTGTAACAGTCTCAGCGACCTTCAGTTCCGTGCCAACAAGATATAAACAATACAAAGAATTATTTGCTATCCTCATGAGGATATTGATGTTGACTAACACAAATCCTTTGCATGTGCCTAAAGTTACATTCTTTGGAATGTATGCTCTTTGTCTTTCAAAGCTTGCTATTTTGAGCCAGACCTTCGTAGCTCTCATTCCACAAAGGACTTGCATGTCTTACTATGTATAAGTCACTTTTTGTTACTTATTAAAATTCTTTAGAGTATGTACCTACACTTCCTGTGAATGACTACATGCTGCTTCATTTCCTAAATCAGGGGAAAATGCAAAAAGGCATTATCTGCTGCCAAAAAGAAAACAAAAGCCTCATTGGATGAAAGATTGAACTCTTCAAGAAGTTAAGGAGAGACAAGAAGCAAATGGAAAAAGAACCAGAAGTAAGGTGAAATTTCTGCAACTAACTATTCAGTGGCATATGCACAAGGACAAAGAAAATTACGTATAATAAATAAGCAATGCAGGGATACAGAAGGACAACAAGAAGAAACCTGTTTCACGAGATCTGAAAAAAAAAATCAAAAGAAAGTTTAAACCAAAACTGGGGATGCTATACAATCAGCAAGGGAACAAAATATGGGATCAAGAAGAAATAAATATATGATGAAAAAATACACATAAAAGGGATGAAAGGATGACAGCTTAATGAACCCATGATTTTAGAAAGTGCAGTGGAACCTGCACTTAGACCACTTGGGATAAATAAATCACCAGGAATAGATGAAATAAAGATGATAGCACTGGGGATCTCAAGGTTGGACTTCTGCAATGCGCTGCACATTGGGCTACCTCTGTGCCAAGTTTGGAAACTCCAGTTGGTTCAAAATACAGCAGCCATACTAGTTACAGGAACATATAGGAGTGAGCATATCACCTCTATACTAAAGTCATTCCACTGGTTGCCAATTAATTTCTGGGCAAAGTACAAAGAATTGGTTTTAACCTTGAAAGCCCTACATGGCTTAAGTCCAAGTTACCCACAGGATCGCCTTCTCCCACATAATCTGCCTCTTAAGACACTGAGGCCTCTGGGGGATGCTTACTCCAGCCAGCGAGAACCCGACTGCCAACTGTCATCCAGAGCACCCTTTCATCGGGCACCCCAAGAAGACTGTGACAGATCTGACAACTAAATCAGCTGTCACAATTTAAAACACAACTGAAGACCTATCTCATCCAGCAGGCCTATCCAGTCAGTTTTAATTACGGCTTTTAAATCACATATATTTATTATGTTTAACTTCTGTTTCATGTATTTTAATATTTGTATATTTTAATGTATGGTTTTATGGTTGCATTTTAACTTTTTTTTAAATGTGTGATTTTATAGATGTATTAGACTTTGTTGTGCCTCACCTCAAGCCAAAGTTATTTATTTATTATTATTATTTACCAATAGAGCTGTTTCAAGCTATAGTGACATAATCACTCCTTTCTAACTAAAATTTGTCAACAAATGCAGAAGACAAAACAATTGCCCCCAGATTAGAAATATACATTCCAATTCCAAAGAAAGGGAACACTTACTTAACTTTTATGCTAAATGTATTTTGAAAAAATCTAGATAACACTCAGAGGAAGGAGGTGTGAAAAGTTGAGGAAAGAACAAAAAATTAAGATATGCAGATAACAACATTCTACTAGCAGAAAATAGCAGAGAGTTGAAAAAACTATTGGAAAAAGTCAAAGAAGATAGTGCAAAAACAGGTTTAGAGTTGAAGATTCAGAAGGCAAAAACAATGAACAGAGATGACTTACATGGCTTTAATGTACATGATGCAGTCATCAAAATAGTAAAAGATCTTCCATATCTTGACTCATAATGCAAACTGCAGTCAAGAAATCAGAAAAATATTAGAACGTGAAAGAGCAGCTATGAAAAAAGCAGACAAGATCATGGAGTGTGAAGGTATACTGAATACCAAAATCAGGATTGTCATGCCCTTGTGTTTGTAATTTTTTATGTATGATTCTGAAAGTGTGACAGTAAACAAAACTGAAAAAATTAGACTTGCCTCATTTGAAATATGGCAGAAGTAGGAAACTGTGAATACCATGGCAAAAATACAAATAAATGGGTTCTAGAGCAAATCCCTCGGTGGTGCAGTGGGTTAAACCACTGAGCTGGTAAACGTGTTGACTGAAAGGTCGTAGGTTCAAATCTGGAGAGCGGCGTAACCTTATGCTGTCAGCCCCAGCTTCTGCCAACCTAGCAGTTCGAAAACATGCAAATGTGAGTAGATCAATAGGTACCCCTCCGGTTGGAATGTAACGGTGCCCATGAAGTCATGCTGGCCACATGACCTTGGAGGTGTCTATGGGCAATGCTGGCTCTTCGGCTTAGAAATGGAGATGAGCCCAGAGTAGGATACGACTGGACTTAATGTCAGAGGAAAGCCTTTACCTTTACCTTAGAGCAAATCAAGGCTGAATTCTCCCTAAAAACCAGCCTGAACGTTTGTAAATATCACGGGAAGAGTATCTCATTAGAGAAGACAATTATGTTGGAAAATGTAGAAGGTAATAGAAAAAGAGGAAAGTTGCATTCCAGGTGGAAGTCCCTGTTGTCTTGAGTCTGCAAGACCTGAGCAGGGTTGTTGGTGACAGAGTGACTTGCAGATCTCTCATCTCTCATTTCTCTGTTCACCATAAGGCGAAGTCATAGAATCATCGAGTTGGAAGAGACCACATGGGCCATCTAGTCCAACCCTCTGCCATACAGGAAAAGCACAATCAAAGTATCCCTGACAGATGGCCACCCGGCCTCTGTTTAAAAGCCTCCAAGGAAGGAGCTTCCACAAGGCTCTGAGGAACAGAGTTCCACTGCTGATCAGCTCTTACGGTCAGGAAGTTCTTCCTAATGTTCAAATAGAATCTCCTTTCTTGTCATTTGAACCCATTGCTCGGAGTCCTGGTCTCCAGGGCAGGTTTCTATTTGGATATGTCAGGAATGTCATGTATCACTTTTGTTAGGGAAATATGGGTGTGTGGAAAGCATGTCTCTGGCTATAAATCTATGGAATTATCTCCAAGAATTTTCCCCAGCAGAAGAGCTTGGCTGCATCTATTTCACTCTTGCCTACACCACACTTTCCAGGCACACTCAGGCATTAAATCTTCTTGAAATCTTTCATTCATAGATAGATTTGATTCATGGATGATGATTAGGAGCTGTCTTTCATATCAAGCAGAGGAAAAAGCATAGATGAAAATGGAAAAATCTCATTTCTCAGAGAAATTTTTCGAATTTCAACTTTGTTTCTACTTTTTTCTTGAGCTGAAGGAAACTACTAAAGGTCCATTGCTCATGAATGGAAAGGACATGAACAGAATATACACAGTCCCCAAAGCATGGCTCAACCCACCAGTCCATCATAGCAGTGGATTTGGCAGGTGCTGTGGACAGGCTTTAGATTTACTGGCCAGTATAAACTCTTCTTGGATAGTTCTTTTGACATTGCACTTTGACAGCTGCAAAGAGGGTGCATGCTTATGAAAGAAAAGCTGGTATACAGTAGCAAGCATTTGCTCCTCTCAGAAGTGAAGTGCAGCCAGCCCTCTGTATCCACAAAGGAAACATGCAAACTCTGGGTAGCTCTACTCGCGGACCCTTTATCTCAAAGCCAATATACGGTGGTGAATCCCAGATTAGTCCTGGGAAGGTTTCCACTGAAAGTCTCCCAGGCACTGCGGATATGGGAGGAAGTCCAGACTGTTCAGAGGCGCCGAACCCAGTTTGGTGCTGTCAGAGGGCCACCCTTACCACCACCTCCCTCCCATTCTCATTGCAGTGGTGTCCAATGGTTGCAATGTGGCTAGTGACAGTTGCTCATCACCCAGAGGGAGCAGAGTGACTTTGGGGTGGGGGCAGAAGAGGAACTGACCCCTCCTTCACCCCTCCCTTCTTTGATTGTCCTGGCACTTCAGCCAATGTCACTCCATGTGATGAATGACCAAAACTAGGCATACCACAGATGTTGTCGTAGATGCTGTGATGATAGGAATGGCAGGAAAACAGTGAGGGCCATTGGTTGTCCCTGAGCTGCTCAAGTATGGGGAATATGGGATAGGCACATATGCAGTTTCAGCTGGTTCTGACTCAGGGGTACTCAAGCTTTTAAAGCAGAGGGCCAATTCACCGCTATTGGAGGAGGGGGGCAGACTATAATTTAAAAAAAAAACAAACCACGAATGAATTCCTATGAACTTTGCTCATATCTTATTTGTAGTGCAAAAAAGCATGAAAGAAAAATACAATCTTTCAAATGATGAACAATTTTAAACATAAACATGCTTTTGGCTGATGAGATAGTCAAGTGAATAAGAATTGTTGTTGATGTGTGCCTTCAATTCATTTCAGATTTAAGGCGACCCTGCGTCTATAAAGTTTAGGACAGGGGGCAGGTAAATGACCCTGGACGGCCGCATCCAGCCCATGGGCCTTAGTTTGGCGACCCTGGTTTATACAGTTATGGACTATTCTGGGTTCTTGGAGAGAATTCATAAAAACCCACAACTTCTATTATTACAGTTCAAGGCTACATTAAGCTCCGTGTATCATTAAGATGCCATGGAACAGATTCACCTGTTCTTCAGGATAATGATTAGTATAATTGTGTCTTTTGAGAAGACTGAAAGCCAACTGCGTGTCAGCTCTGGTTTTAATCCACCAGTCTAATAATTTAAAGAATTTTACTTGACCAGTTCTCTCTTCCATTATTTTTGATGTGAATTATGCATACTGTCAAAACATATATGTGTTAAGAACTGAGATAGGCTACAGATGATACAAACTGAGGCAAATTAGTCACCCCAAACTACTACTTTTACAACTATGTCCTCACTTTTTATGGCTCAAAACAAATCCATACTTACAGAATGTCTGCTTTCCCCAGCATCTGAAAATTATAAAGCAAAGTTTAGAAAATGAAACAAAAATCAATAAAATATTTCATTTAATATGGAAAGACATAAGTATCATATCAGCAGATATTTGCAAACTCATGTTACTTGAATTGCTCTTGAGATATCTGATTAAAGCTGCAGACGAGAGCTCAGTATTAATTTAGACTATTGATTGTCCTCTCTGCATTTACGTTCTAACAGTATCATCTATATATTAACCAAAATACAAATTTTAATAGTATATATAAAGCCAATGTGACTTATACATCCATGTAAGGCATCTCCCTCAGATTGCAACAACATCTCGCAGCCTATATTCACACAAAGTGCCACATTTCTGTTTTTCTGCACATATTTGATGAAATAGTAAGTCTCAATGGCCACTACGTCTTCTTTGACATAGGACTGCCTTCCAAAAGGAAATGATTAAAATTTGGAATTCCTTTCTCTGGTCCTTAATTTTAAGTTCTGCTATAAAGTAAAATATGGGATTGGCCTGATTGTTTGGTGGAAAACTAGCAGAGACACAGTACGTGGAACTTGACTCAATTCCTCGATTTGCAATAACAGGATCTAGATAAAGTACTGCTATCGCTTTACCAAAAGCAACAGGATTTAAGGCCTTTAGGGGGGAAACATATTTGAAATAAATTATTTCAAGGCACTTTTGGTATGCTGAGTATTGTACTACCAGGAAAGAGGAAATTATAAATTTTGTATATTTCCAAAACTTCAAATGAAGGGATGTTTATTAATTACACTGTGGCTGGTGGGGTGGGGCTGGGGCTGGAAAAAACCAATTGATAGCTTATGTCTTTATGAGCCTAAATAAAATTCTACAAGGCCACCAACAAGTCTAATCTAATTTTTATCTGTAACACATTCTCTAGGTATTTTCAGCCTTTGACAAAATCTCTGTTTAATTTCTAAGTTGTGCTTGAAAAGTAAAACAATAATAATTTCTACAGTTCCTGTGCTTCATTCTGTACTTGGCAAGCTTCAAAACTTTTGAAAACGAGATGTATGTTATAAACATGCTGACATAGAACGGAAATGCAGCTCCCTGGTTTGCATGAAGTGTCCTTGTTTTGCACCTACAGACATGTCATAGTGTAGACACAGATAAGATAATTTTAATTGATAAAGCATGAAAGGCATAATAAGAAGCAGAGGACATCACAAGACAAGTTTTAAAAGTGTTAGGTACTAGGTTGACTGAAAACTGTTTCAAAGTTCTCAGAAAAAGAGGCAGTTCAGGCAACTTCATGGCATGCTGTACAAAGGCAGCAGCTAGACAGCAATGATCAGAGTGTTAAGCATGATATTTGGTAACAATTATGGGACATAGAACATAGTTTGACATAAATTGATTAACCATTTTCTCGCTTCTATCAACATGGCTTCAGCAGGATATATTAGTACTGGTAGTACAATACTCAGCATACCAAAAGTGCCTTGAAATAATTTATTTCAAATATGTTTGCAAATCCCAGCTGGACTGCTTAAAATCTTGAAAGATGATGCTGTCAAGGTGATGCATGCCATATGCCAGCAAATATGGAAAACACAAGAATGGCCATCAGACTGGAAAAAATCCCCATACCCCATACCAAAAAAGGGAAATGCTAAAGACTGCTCAAACTTCCGTACAGTGGCCCTTATTTCTCATGCCAGTAAGGTAATGCTCAAGATCCTGCAAGGAAGACTCCAGCAATACATGGAGAGAGAGTTGCCAGATGTACAAGCTGGGTTTAGAAAAGGCAGAGGAACGAGAGACCCAATTGCCAATATCTGCTGGATAATGGAGAAAGGCAGGGAGTTTCAGAAAAACATCTATTTCTGTTTTATTGACTATTCTAAAGCCTTTGACTGTGTGGATCATAATAAATTGTGGCAAGTTCTTGGTGGTATGGGCATACCAAATCACCTTGTCTCTCTCCTGAGGAATCTGTATAAGGACCAAGTAGCAACAGTAAGAACTGACCATGGAACAACAGACTGGTTCAAGATTGGGAAAGGCGTACGGCAGTGTTGTATACTCTCCCCCAACTTATTCAACTTGTATGCAGGACACACCATGCGATGTGCGGTGCTTGACGAATGCAAGGCTGGGGTGAAAATTGCTGGAAGAAACATTAACAACCTTAGATATGCAGATGACACTACTTTGATGGCCGAAAGCAAGGAGTAGCTGAGGAGCCTTCTAATCAAGGTGAAAGAAGAAAGCGCAAAAGCTGGGTTGCAGCTAAACATAAAAAAAAAAACCAAGATTCTGGCAACAAGAATGACTGACAACTGGGAAATAGAGGGAGAAAACGTGGAGGCATTCACAGACTTTTTATTTCTAGGTGCAAAGATTACTGCAGATGCAGACTGCAGCCAGGAAATCAGGAGACGCTTACTTCTTGGGAGGAGAGCAATGTCCAATCTCTATAAGATAGTGAACAGTAGAGATATCACACTGGCAATGAATCCACATAGTAAACACAATGATATTCCCCATAGTCTCCTACGGATGTGAGAGCTGGACTATAGGGAAGGCTGAGTGAAGGAAGATAGATGCTTTTGAACTGTGGTGTTGGAGGAAAGTTCTAAGAGTGCCTTGGACTGTGAGAAGATCCAACCAGTCCATACTCCAGGAAATAAAGCCCAACTGCTCATTGGAGAGAAGGATAGAAGAAGCAAAGATGGAAGCACTTTGGCCACATCATGAGAAGAAAGGAAAGCTTAGAGAAGACAATGATGCTTGGGAAAATGGAAGGAAAAGGAAGAGGTGCCGACCAAGGGCAAGATGGATGTATGGTATCCTTGAAGTGACTGGATTGGCCTTGAAGGAGCTGGGGTGGTGAAGGCTGACAGGGAGCTCTGGCGTGGGCTGGTCCATGAGGTCACGAAGAGTCGGAGAGGACTGAACGAATGAACAACAACAAGACTGATTTTTGTGAATCACACTAGATTGCTCCCATCTGCAAAAGGTCAATAAAATTATACTTTTCATTCAGAACCTAAGTCTGCCTCTTTGGTTGACCTATTTTATGGTAACAGTACAATGTGCAAAGCAGTCTCAGAACATCTATTCATTTACTTGGATTAACTCATTGATGAATTGTGGCATCTTGGCTTCTTGTTAAAGAGGTCACAGCAAAACATTGCCCTGAAAAATTGTGTTTTGCTATTTCAGAGCTGAGTGGCTATCTAATTTAAGATTGCAAATCCTCAATCCTGGCTAGATTGCTATTAAATACATTTTAATTTGCAACAACAATAATTGATTTATACAGTTGATAAGGTACGGAATTTCTCTTAAGGCAATGAAGCTTCTAAGCCAAAGTGGCTCAGTTGGTATGGCAGTTCGGCATAGCCGAGTGTTTAAAGAAACACCTGGAGCCTGAGAAGAATATTGAAATGGTAGTCTGTTTGAGGCAAAATTATTTTATCTTTGATACAGAAGAACTGTAAACTATTGAAAGAAAGGGAAGGAAGAATGACTTCAAAATGAGAGGAACCTGACCAGTGAGTCCTAACAGTTTGGACTTCAGTTGTAATCAGTTTTGTAACCTGGCAAATGAAACAGAGCTATGAAAAATAAGAATTCAAGGTGGAAGAAATGGACTGAATTTCACATATTGGACAGCTGTCAGTTTATAATGTTACATATGGGCCACCATCAAATATCTATGCAAATACCCACACTGTGAATTTCATTCTGAATATTGGGTTTCCAATTATTTATTCAACTAAGAAGTCATATTGTAATCACTGTTATTTTCAAAAGAAAGAAGATAGGCAATGAAACTGCACTGAAAAACAAAATTCTGAAGGCTGTTTAGTGGTGAAAAGAAATGCAGTATGGCCAAATATTCTTGCAAGCATAATCTAAGCATATGGACAGGTTAGAGAATCTTTAAAACATGGTAAGTGTAGAGGTTCTTGCAAGGCTTGAATTTAGAAAGGTTTGGGAATGAGGACAGAATAAGCATGAGATGTTATCTATAAGCCTCTTCACATGGGAAACTATTCAACTATTTTATCGACTATTCAGTTTATAAAATATCCAGTCCAACCTATGAAACTTCAAGCATAAGTTGCCCTGTTTGTAGATTTTTGTGAGGATCTCTGAGCCCAAAGGAAGGGACTCTCAAGAGGTGTAATGTTTTGAAGTCTGGAAGCCACAAATGCCAAAGAAGGTTTCATGTGACACAGAACCATTTCTACCAACTTCTTCCAAAGTGTGAAACAAAGCAGAGTTTTCTCATGCCTCTTTCTGCTGAAGAATATTTGTTTTTCCGCAACATATTGTGGGAGACTGTGGGATTCTGAGCATTTCCTCTCTCAACAAGCTGTTTCTTAGCAACTGACTCATTTTTTCACGAGGAGCATGTTGATTAGAACAATTTCCAGAGGTGCAGAACCATAATAGCCTGCTCCACCAAAATCAACAATATGTCTTTATAGGCATTCAAAGACATGACTCCACAATGACATAAACTTTCTTGGACCAGAGTCCATTTCATCAGATCCACAAATATAATCTTAAACTGGCAGGCATGATGGTAGACCTGATTGAAGAATGGCTGGAAATTGTGAAGAAAAAAGATACAAAATCCACAAATATATCCACAACACCTAAAAACAAGCCCTATTCTAGGTTTCGCCAGAGAATGGCCCCTTTCACTCACCATACCTTCCATCACTACCAGCGGTTCTCAACCTGTGGGTCCCCAGATGTTTTGGCTTTCAACTCCCAGAAATCCTAATAGCTGGTAAACTGGCTGGGCTTTCTGGGAGTTGTAGGTCAAAACACCTGGGGACCTACAGGTTGAGCACTGATCACTACAGATCTAAGTGACTAATGAAAGAACTCTTAAGTAGAGTGAAATTAACAGGAAGCATTGGGGAAGTGGTTCTCAAGTTGGATGTGGGAGGTTAGGAAATGGTGAGAATATCCCATTTCTCACAGCCTATGGAAAGAAATAACATAGTCCTGGTTCTTGTGGTTGGGCTAGAAGACAGGAAACACACACACACACACTCATGGCCACTAGACAGAGCATGTAGTGTAGCTCTATAGCTTTTCACAGATGGAAGCATAACCACTTCATCACATGAGTCCTTTATAGCATCGTAGAACGCATTTGCCCCGGTTGAGCCATGGAGCCCCACAACACCCATCAAAAAATGCAGGCTCACTTTCGGTGGCTCGACTGGGGTGCAAGCATCCTATGACGCTGTACCAGGAACACGGGAGGCTTCCCGTGTTCTGTTGAAAACCACAAGGCCAGTGCAGGGGAAGCCATGTGGCAATGCTTCCTCACGTGTGATGGGTAAGATGGGCCGTAGAGAGCCACGATTGCCCCACTGCCTTGAGGATTCATCACAGAGGCTGACGAATTGCTCCATGAGACCGCATCCATGTGATGAGGTCCTTAGTCGTACCTCCATATTTATGGTTTTGATTTTCATGGATTTGATTAAAAATGGTCTCTGTAGGGATTTCTAGCTCCTCCAGTGTGATTCTATGGTCAACTTCCTCTGGTCATATTGAAGGACCTAGAGATTTCTAGAAACACTGGAAGTTGTCCATAGAGTTGTGGTGGAAGACCTAAAAGTACCTGGAAAGGCATTCTCTCAGGTTTAAAAAATAATAATTTCTTCATTCACAGTTTTTCACTTTCACCTATGCAGAACAGAGGGTTCTAGAAGTTGCATTGTCAAAAATAGCCTTTCCAGTTATGAATTAATGACAGCTGCAATGTGCAGAAACAAAAATGAAGAACTACAGTCAGGGACAGAGAGAACAACCTGTTCTTTTGCTCAGTTGTTGTTCCCCAAAGACAGCCCTGTTGCAAACTGCGTAACTCAGCTGCTCTGGATTCCCTTCCCAAAATATTGCAGAATGATGTTAAGAAATGCCTTTTGAGGATGCAGGCTAGAGGTATTTGAAAAGTGGGGCGTGGACTCAAGGAATTTTGTCCACTCTGACTCTTGTTGCATTTCTCCTTTAGCTCCAAGGCAAGCACAATGTCTCTGTATGGTTGCTTCAGTATCATTACTATCAAAAACGATCTCCATAAACATCAGCATGGTTACATTTCACTAAGTAATGCAATAAAACCTCCAAAAGTACTTTGCTGTTGTGTGATGCCCGGCTTATCTCTTTGAAACACTTTTCCTGTGTATCAGTCAGGAAAAGCTGATGCAATTAGAACAATACACTGTTATTACAATTCCAAAAATAACTGAAGCCGTAGTCGGGTATGTGCAGCAATGAAGGGGAAAGAATGCAAGATTAAGGGTGCTTGTTTATTGTCAGTCTAATGCAGTCCATACTTTTAAACGAATCTCATTTCAACTTCCTGTCCTACAACCGTATTGATTAAACCCGGTTTTAAATACATGCCCTTCTCGAACTCATTTGGGCTGATGAAAGTAGATAAAAGAAGTAAAAGGATTTCCCCATAGGATACCAAATTTGAAAACTATCAATTTGAAAACCTAATACAGAAATACTTGCTTTCTGAGTTGTTTTAATACATTTTGTCACTTGAAGCAAAGTAGGAAATGGTCCCCTGGAATATGCTACATTGTATTGTAGGGCAGGAGCCCCCGGTGGTGCAGTGGGTTAAACCCCTGTGCCGGCAGGACTGAAGACTGACAGGTCGCAGGTTCGAAGTCAGGGAGAGGCGGATGAGCTCGCTCTATCAGCTCCAGCTCCTCATACGGGGACATGAGAGAAGCCTCCCACAAGGAAGATAAAAACATCAAATCATCCGGACATCCCCTGGGCAATGTCCTTGCAGACGGCCAATTCTCTCACACCAGAAGCGACTTGCAGTTTCTCAAGTCACTCCTGACACGACAAAAAAAAAATTGTACGGCAGACATCAATTCTGGAGACATGCCTATCCACTTTTCTAAAGAAATAATCTCAATAACCTGAACAATTTTGCTGTCCTTTTATGACACTGAAGATCTGCTGCCTAGTGGTAGGGCCAACTCTTCTGACTTTTACAACCATGTGGGGTACAAAGGAGGGAAAATTTTCAAAACTTTTCCCCTAATAATCTATATAAATAAAAATGTAATGTTCATTTGTGAGATTAACAGAACTAAAAAACCACTGGACGAATTGACACCAAATTTGGCAGCAAAACACATTCTAATCCGATCTATATTTTTCAAACAAAAAAACCCCATAAAAATGAAGGAGAAATAACTTAAAACTCCCCAAAAAGAAAAAAATGCCTTACAGAGCATGCGCAAAAGCCCCTCTCCCCATTGCGCGAGAAGAATGAAGCACCAACCGTTGTGAGGGAAGAGAAGCCTTGCCACGGAGTCCCTTTCCATGCAGGAAGACAGAATCCTTTTTCTTTTGGGGAGGGGAGGGATTGAGGAAAGGAAAGAGGAAAGGAAGGAGAAGGCCTGGCCCAACGGAGTAGTGGGGGCTTGGCGAGGCAAGCCCCGGCAGCAGCTGGAGCCACCGCAGCGGCTCCATGAGTCCCACATGGCTACCAGGCAACTCTTCCCCCAAGACCAGAGGATTGCAAGGCAAGACTGGCTGCACACAACCCCCCCCCCCCCCCCCCCCCCCCGGTTGGGTGAAGGGAGAATGCAAACCATGAGAAGGCCAGCAACTCTCCTACTTGGGCTCCACATCCTTTTCTTCCTTTGCACGCTACTCTAAAAACGTCTGCTAGCATCTGAAATCAGAATAAGTAGTTTCCTTTTCATTGCATTCTTACATAAGCAAAAAAAAAAGGTTTGTAGATGAATGGGTCAAGGCTGCGGAGAAGCATGTTTGGTTCCCATTAAATGGAAATGAAAGTACTACAATCTGATAGACACTGAAAAGAGGAAGAAAAGAAAGAAAAGGAAAACAAAACAAAGGGAAAATGGAAAATATTGCTGGGTTAAAATTAGAGAGCTGGTGAAAGTTTTGTAACCACAAATGATTACAAAACCAAATTAGAAGGAAATGATTTACTCAGGATGGAAATTATAATCACAGCATAGCATGAAGAAAAGATGCGGTGACTTGGTTTGGGAGAATAAAACTTAAATCAATATACAGATTATTCTTGCCAATTTAAAAACAAATCCCTTTTTATATGGGTCTCCCTCCTAGGTCAGTGGATAATGATCACAGACTTTGTTGCTTCTGTTCCATTGGTATTAACCTATATGCCTCCACTCAAGAAAAAACTCCCTTAATTTCAAGTGGTCTTACTATTAGGAAATTGGTTGTTATGAACAAGTATTTTCTACTTTTGTCTATTTTTAAAGAAAGTATTTACATACAAAATGTTACATGTCCTATTATGTGTTAGTTTTTTTTAAGTTGACGACTTACCATTAGCAGCTTTTCTGATTTCCGTATAAACTGTCTCATTCTTCGTTGTCACAGGAGCTAGAAAATGTATATATATGGAATACATTATTTTCAGGTGTAAGGGACTCAGCCACACTGAAGCTGAATTAAATTAAGAAAACCAAACCTGTCTTCTTAGGCAACTGATTGAAAAATGGGCAGCAAGTGCTGCATTCTTTTAAATTGTATTGTTACTTGTTTTAAATGCTTTTTAGAGTATTTATTTTTAATGTGGTTCTTTGTTTAATTGTGTTTTTAATGGGGCTTTTAAACGTTTTTAATTGTAATCTTTTAAATATGTAAGCTAAATTGTGTCCAAAACTTGGGAATAATATAGGATATACATAAATTTAATTATCATTAGCATCACCATCACATCTCATGAAGATTTCCAGAAGCAGCACTTCACCCCAACTTTCTTTTGGCCAGTTTTTCCCGTTAGGGAGAAGGAGCCTCAACATTGCTCTGGGTCTCACCCAAAGTGTTGGCACCTCTCTTTTTTTAAAAGTAAGAGGGTTGCTGAATCTCTGGTAATAACTATTTCAGAAAATCGGTTTTTAAAACACCTTAGTTCTAAACATGGCCAGACATTATGTTTACTAACGTATCTCTTCTTGCATGAGACTAGCAATACTCAGAATTTCAATGTTTTATTGAAGGCTTTCATGGCCAGTATCACTGGGTTGTTGTAGCTTTTCAGGCTGTATGGCCAAGTTCTAGAAGCATTCTCTCTGGATTTCACTCAGAATTTCGTTTTCCATGGGACAAAGACTTCTTTTACATACCTATGTTTAGTCCCTTCCTGCTTCTTTCTAACAAACATAGTTGATAGTTAATCACTTGTCAACACATTGCTCAAAGTATTAGATAGATGTAACTCTCGTATCTACATTAAATGTTTATGGAATCATAGAATCATAGAGTCAGAAGGGCCATCTAGCCCAACCCCTTGCCAATAAGCAAGAAAATCACGTTCAAAGCACCCCCGACAGATGGCGATCCGGCCTCTGTTTAAAGGCCTCAAAAGAAGGAGCCTCCACCACACTCTGGGGCAGAGAGTTCCACTGCTGAATGCCTCTCACAGTCAGGAAGTTCCTTCTAATGTTCAGGTGGAATCTCCTTTCCTGTAGTTTGTAGCCATTGTTCAATTGCGTCCTAAGCCATCTAAGACATTAATTTTTACGATTTTATTGGAATTGCCTGTAGATAAATATTGCTACTGTAATATGGGGTAGGGGGGAGTATTACTTCTGAGAACCGCATGATCTACAAATCTTAGGATTCTGTAGAATGAAACAACTGGCTGTTAAAGCTGTATCAAATTGCTGTAACTTCGTAATGCAGGTACACTCTCCAATGGTCCCTTAGGGACTTTCCCCAAGTAAAATTCATAATGGCCCAATTGTCATTGGGACAAGTAGTGTTTTTTTTTATTATTCAACTAAGTCGATAACTTATAAAACAACTGGAACTTTATACTCAGCCTGGGAATGAGACATTCAGGATAGTGTTATGTGAAAGGAAATATGTTGGCATGACAGCTTTGAGGATCTTTAATCTTATTAGGCGTTAGGCTTAAAATATCCTATGAGATCATCATAGCTCTTTGTAGTACACTGAAGGTTTAACATGGGTGTGGCTGGAGTTTCTTTAACATTGTTACAGCACAGGCCAAGTCAAAAAGTAACTTGGAACAGTCCCACCTAGGGTGTTCACATCTAAGGAGGCCAGTTCAGACTTTCAGTTGGTTCTGGTGTATCTTAGGAGGGATGCATATATCATAGACAAGCAAAATATTTCCTGCCATCTAAATAACTGCTGTCGCTATCTCCCTAACATCCTACTCAATGCTGAAATTCAATGTTTATGTTATCTATTTTCACTAATCACTCTTAGATAAAGCATATAGAGCATAGAAGATTTCACAGCATCACCCAGCCTTCCTGACTTGTGGCTCTGCAATATAGCTATTTTGAATAACATTTTAAGGTGTGTATGCAGGAGAACTTCAGTTTAGCTGTTGTTATTTCTGATGTTTGGTTATTTATTTTACTGCGTTTTCTTGGCAAAATTTATTCAGAGAGGTTTTGCTTTTGCCTTCCACTAAGTTGAGAAAGCGTGATTTCCTTAAGGGGGATTTCCACGGTATAGTGGGATTTGAAGTTTAGTGATAGTTCAATGTTCAAACCACGCTGGCACTTTACTTATTTTTTACTGATTTAAAATGGTAGGTGGTCATCATTTAACACAGTGGTTCTTAACCTTCTTAATGCTGCGACCCCTTAATACAGTTCCTCATGTTGTAGTGACCCCCAACCATAAAATTATTTTCGTTGCTACTTCATAACTGATTTTGTCACTGTTATGAATCTTAATGTATATATCTGATATGCAGGATGTATTTTCATTCATTGGACCAAATTTGGTACAAATACGCGATATGCCCAAATTTGAATACTGGTGGGGTTTGCAGGGGGATTGATTTTGTCATTTGGGAGTTGTGATTGCTGGGATTTATAGTTCACCTACAATCAAAGAGCATTTTGAACTCCACCAATGATGGAACTGAACCAAACTTGGCAGACAGAACTCCCATGACCATCAGAAAATACTGGAAGGGTTTTGTGGGTATTGACCTTGAGTTTTAGAGTTATTGTTCACCTATATCCAGAGATCACTGTGGACTCAGGGAATTATGGATCTGGACCAAACTTTGCATGAATACTCAATATGCCCAAATGTGAACACCGGTGGAGTTTGAGGAAAATAGACTTTGACATTTGGGAGTTGTAGTTGCTAAGATGTATAGTTCGTTTTGAACTATAACGAGAATTCTGAACTCCACCAATGACAGAATTGGACCCGTTTTCCTACATAGAACTCCCATGACTAACAAAAACTACTGTGTTTTCTGATGGTCTTTAGCTAGGGGGTTTCTGATGAAACCCCCTAGCGATTCCCACAGGGGTCCCGACCCTCAGGTTGGGAAATGCTGATCTAAAAAGTGGGTAAAGGAAGCAAAAGTCTTATTGAATATACATTAAGATGAAGTCCTAAGTAGCCTTTGAGGCAAAGCTTTTGCTCCCTTCTGTTTTAATATGGGAGGAATATTTAAGGCCTGATCTGCAATTATGTGGAGGACTGCCTCTGAGATCATTCTATATGGAGACCTAGGCCCCTTCTACAGTGCCATACAATGCAGTACATTATAACAGCAGTGTAGATGGGGCCCTAGTGTTATTCCTGACATATACAGTCATACAAGTTAGCTGTTTAATTACCCCTGTAAGGGTCAGGAACGGAGACATCCACTTCAGTATATTCCACTTCAGCATTCCCAAGGTCAGCTTCTGGCACAAAAATAGCAAGAAGATGGGGAGTAGTATTTCTTTTCCCTGATCACACAAACTTTCTAAGCAACTAAGACATTTCACATGCAGTGGCGTCACTAGGGTTTGTGTCACCCACTGTGGTATCTCATGGTATCACCCCCATGGATTTCCTCTCATGCCAGACAATACCACAATATTGTAGCTAAAATACCAGAAAAATGGACAAAATCAGCAGCTGCAACAACAAATCAGCAGCACATATAGTATCTATGTAAAAATGTAATGTTCATTTGTGGGATTAACAGAACTCAAAAATCACTGGGGGAATTGACACCAAATTTGGACACAATACACGTAAGAACCCAATGTATGTCCTTCACTCATAAACACTGAAAAACACAGCAGAAGGGACTTTAAAAGCCCCAAAAGACTAAATGACGAAAAACTAAATGACAATACAGAAAAAAGGAAAGAAAGAGGGAGGGAAGGGGGGAAAGAAAGAAAGAAAGAAAGAAAGAAAGAAAGAAAGAAAGAAAAAAAGAAAAGAAAAGAAAAGAAAAGGAAGAGGGAGGGAGGGAAAGAAAGAAGGAAAGGGAGAAGGAAGCATGGAAGCAAAGAGAAAAGGAAGAAAGGAGAGAAAGAGGGAGGGAAAGAAAAAGGGAAAGGGAAGGAAAGTTACAGCCCTTTGGATGAATTCCTCCAGTGCTTTCATTTAGATGTTGAAAAACAAAAAACACAGAAGATAACCTTTCCCTGTGTTCTCCACAGGCCATCTCAAAGTCCAAGTAGTACCATGCAGTTAATTATGTTCTTTACAAAGCATACAAGTAGAATTGAATCGTTCTAAGCTGGAGAAACCAATTTATTTACTTTAATACTACAATCTCTTAATCTCTTGAAAAGGGAAGAATAGGAATGAATATATAAAATGTCACCTTTATTCTCCTCTTTTGAGTTTATGTGATTTTTTTCATCATCGTCATTATAACCTGATCCCAAAAGGGAAAAAAAAAGGAAAATAATGGAAACAGGATCAGTTAATGGAAAGATTAACAGCCACACTTGCTTCAAACAGACAAGGACTTGTCTGTTTGGACATTTCACACACACACACACACACATATATATATATACACTTCTCTTGCCTCATTTCCACCCCAGACATCACACACACACACACACACACACTCCACTTGCCTTATTTCCAACAGACCTTTGAACAAACCTCTGGGAATGCTTGCCAAAGATGCAGGCAAAACATCAGGAGACAATGCTACTGGAACATGGCCAAAACAGATAATCTAGATTTTATATAGCAATGTAGAAGGGGCCTTAGGCTGGATCAGATCTATATCAAATCCCGTCCATAGGCTGGATAAGGTCTATATCAGATCCTGCGATATAGGCAGTGTAGATGGGACCTTGGTACTGTTCAATTATCTGGGCAGAGACCACAAGGGGGTGCTAAAGAGAGGATAGTATATTTTTGGGGGGCGGAGGGTGGGTTGAAATAGTAAAACCATTTCTTCGTTTTCCTGTTATCCCCCCATGTCCCCATCATGGAAACAACCCTAGTTTATTAAATAGTAAGTGGGGAGGGGGAATAACCAGTGAAAACGAGGGAAATGGTTTTCTTCCGTCAACCCCCCACCCCCGTAAAATGGACTATCTTTCTCTGTCTGGTGCCCCCTTGTGGCCTGCACCCAGATAATGAAACAATCCCAGGGCCTCTGAAATCCTATCCAATCCCTCAAAGAGAAAAAGTTTGTGTTGGAGGCAAGGATAGGACATCAGGCTCCACATGGGATGCCTACCTAGATATTTCCTCCTTTTCCTACACTTCTTTGAAAAATGCAGAAGATATTTTAGAAATCTTCTACTTGCATTCATATGGGCCATTATTCATAGGTTGTAAACTCCCATCTCTGGAAATTGGAGTTGTATTTCAACTCATATGATGCCCACACATTTGCAGACTTTATATTTTTGGAATCTAAATGAGTAAGAAAGGCATTAAAAACCCTCATAATCCACCCCATCCCATCTGGAATATTTTCTCCTTACATGACCATTTGTACTCCTACACTAATTCTGTTCTAATTGTGTTTTAATTTTGGTATATTTCAAATTTTGTGCTAATGCTTTTATGTCAAGCTGCTTTGAGTCCCCTTTGGGGAGATAAAGCAGAACAATAAGAACAACAACAACAACAACAACAACGACACAGTATGTTATCCATACCTGTGAACGACTGTTATGTTTGAAAAGCCAAATACAACATTATTTAGATATATCAATTTTAAACATTCATTCAGATCAGGTCTGAATAATATCCCGATTCAAAGATGGAGTTGTTAAGATTCTAATTTTTTAAGTGACACAATAATAAGAACAGAAACAATAAAGTACCATAACAAAATTCCCTTTCATAATTCTGTCCGGATGTCAGCTTCTCACCCACTGAGTTGGCTGCTGGCATGGTACTAAAAAGCAAACAAATCCAAGAATAGAGTTAGGAGAAGGTACTGATACTTCATCAATTCAAGTTCATATCTATACAATTCTGTCATATTTCTAACCATAGAAGTATATTTTCGATATGACACTGAAGATATGTGATCTAAAGGATCACTGAGGCCCCATCTACACTTTCATATAACCCAGATTATCAAAGCAGATAATCTACATTATCTGCTTTCAACTGGATTATCTGACACAACACTGCCAGATAATCCAGTTCAAAGCAGATAATCTGGATTGTATATGGCAGTGTACAAGGGGCCTTACTCAGTGGAGGTATGCCTTCTTCTAAAACCAAGATAATGTGATTTGTTCAAAGCCACCCAGTAATTAATATTGATGTCCCAGAATCCTAGTCCAAATCATTATTCTATGTTACTTATGTTAACTTCTGAATGCAATGCAATATATTGGCAATTTTACCTACAAATCTGCCTTCTCTTGGGTCTTTTGCAAGCATTAAATAGACTGGCTGGACCCAAGTGTCTGGGGTAATTTTGAAGTATCAAGTAAGAAAAAGCATCTAAGAGGTTTTCATTAAAAACGGAGTAGTTAAGAACAAATATTTTCATATTTGGGTTCAATATGACCTCCAAATGGTCTCACAAAACACAATAAAACAAAAGCAAAACGCTAAAAAACAAACTAATTTATTTACTCTGATTCTTAAAATCCAGCCAGTTTGCTTTGATTACTAAAAAGGTTTAGATCCATTCAAATAGTAGTTTGCAACCAAGGTCTGAAGGACCCAGGACAGATGATGAAGCCAGTTGCTTGAAGCATAACGAATTGGACCATACCTCAAAGTCAAAAATGTGTTTTTCCTGGAATGTTCTAATGTTTGCAGTTTAATATCACTGTATCTTTTGAGGGTTTGCAGAAATTGCTCAGATCTTCTCAGCATGAAATCTGTGTCAATTCGCTGTTGAATCTAACTGTGCAGATAAATGACACATCTCATCGTATTTGTTGAAAAGATCTTATAGTTAAGAGTAAGAATCCAACCTACCTAGTCAGTTCCAAAGCACTGCCTTTGGCTGGAAAAAGATATAAAAACAAGTTACTGCACTGTACTTTAGACATAGAAAGATAGCTAGGTTAATAAAATGAACAAGTAAGAATATTTCCCTGTTACAACCCAATGTAGGCATTCCCTTAATCTTCTCAATACAAGAGCAGTAGAGTGCCTGGTTAATCCTCAATGGCTCAAAAGGAGAATGACTATGGAGAGGGTGTTGCTGGAAAAAACAAAGTGAGCCGTGTCTAATACAGTGAAGCTACATGACAAACTCTGGATGGTATTTCTCTCCAGCAGTGGCCAAATGCTAAGCGTTTGTTCATGGTTCCTGCAAAATAATTTGCACCAAAATCTGGTATAAAAGGCTCACAGACGAGTTCATATTACAACAGCAGTTTTATTGTATTGTCAAAGGCTTTCATGGCCGGAATCACTGGGTTGTTGTAGGTTTTTTCGGGCTATATGGCCATGGTCTAGAGGCATTCTCTCCTGACATTTCACCTGCATTTTCAAAGCCTATTTCTTAATTTTCACAATATAAAGTAATTTATATGATTTTATGTTATATGCTAAATATTTTTAATTGTATTTTATGTTGTTGGGGGCATCGAATTGTGCCAACTGTAAACTGCCTTGAGTTGCCTTTGGGCTAAGAAAGGTGGTATATAAATACGGCAAATAAATAAATGCATAATATCATCCAAACTGATAAAGGAGCTGAAGCCTACACTAGGTAGACCAAACCTATATTGACTCTAAACCTTTCTTACCCCAAGAATATTGCAAATAACTTAGTGATATAGCTCATGAAAAAGACTCATTTTTTCTTCTTTTGTGAATGACTAACAAGATGTTGGTTAATACTTTTTAAAAATGCAATTAAAAAATAAGAAAACAACAAGATTACTCGCCCTCTTGTCTAAATATGTCCCAGGGCATAAGGAGGGATATAGGTTCATTTAATGCCTGCTGATTTGTTTCCAAATTGAAAATGTGGATGAAACAATTTGACATATTTGTTCAGAATTACATACTATTATGCAAATACTGCATTCCCTATTTACATGGATCCAACATACTACTGGTGGAGAAAACTACTGTATTAGCAGATCTCCACTGTCTTCCATCATTGTGTCAAATGCAAGAAACAAGGAGACTTTGATACTGGGAACTAGTGCTCAGGCCCGTAGCCAGGATTTCGATTGGGGGGGGCTGAGTTTTTTTCAAGGGGGGGGTTCGGGGGGGCTGAGTTTTGGGGGGGGCTGAGTCTGAGTGAAAGAGGGTCTACCCTAGCAAACCTTTTGTATCGTTACCCCAATACCCCCATGCATATGGGATATATTGAGTATGGTGATCAGATCATGATATGATAAACATAACAGTTTAAATAATGCACCAGTAAGGTCTTTTCGCGAACCACCATGAGAATTTGGGGGGGGGGGCTGAAGCCCCTGAAGCCCCCCCCCCCCCCCCCCCCGGCTACATGCCTGCTAGTGCTGATCTAACTGGAATAATTGTGAAGCACAACAATTGCATAAGGAAAGACAAGTTTTGGATTCTCTCCTGAATGAAGTTTGCAAGAGGATTCTCAAATCTCAAGCTCAGGAAAGGCATTACCTTTTGCTTTCTTAGAACAGTACCACCAAAGAGCTGCAATGGCAATCCCAAGAAAAACCAGTGTAAATGTCACGATGATGATACTTTTCTTCCATGAAGCCAGAACAACTAAAATAAGAGAAAAGTGTGTCATGATTTAGGCATGATATCACTCCAGTTTCAGCCATGGCAACACTAATCTTCATTGAAATATATATGGATCTCTTTATATGTTCACAGATTACAAATCCACATAGCATGAAAGAACTGCACATACATTAAGAACACCCAAAAGATCACCACTATTCCTAGATTTCATGGATGACACATGAAATCTGTATTTGCCATTCCATTCTGATTCTGCTTTCACTTCATCATGACATCTACTAAACAGGGTAGAGATACATCCAGTGTGTGCAATGAAAAACCATTTCCTTTTAAGAAAAAAAGAAAGTATTTCTTTCCTCCTATTATTGACCATAATACTCATTTGGCTTATTTCCCAGTATTCTTCCATCAATAGCAAATTGGTTTTCAGGATGCTCATCCCTAAAGACTACATATAGTTGACCCCCTGAATCCACGGATTCTATATCCATGGATTCAAACATCCATGGCTGGAAAATCTGAGGTTTTTTAAAAAACCAAAAGGCAAAGCTTAATTTTGCTATTTTATACAAAGGAGGTCATTTTACTATGCCTCAGTATCTAAAGCAGGGGTCCTCAAACTAAGGCCCGGGGCCCGAATGCGGCCCTCCAAGGTCATTTACCCGGCCCTCGCTTAGGGTCAACCTAAGTCTGTAATGACTTGAAAGCACACAACAACAACAACAATAACAACATCAGCCAAAAGCAGGCCCACACTTCCCATTGAAATGCTAAAAATTTATATTTGTTAAAATTGTTCTTCATTTTAATTATTGTATTGTTTTTAAGTGGTTTTTGCACTACAAATAAGATGTGTGCACTAGTGTGCGTAGGAATTCATTCATGTTTTTTTTCAAATTATAATCCAACAGTTTGAGGGACTGTGACCTGGCCCTCTGTTTAAAAAGTTTGAGGACCCCTGATCTAAAGGGACTTCATCATCTATAGATTTTGATCTCCAGGGGCCCACTGCATAATACCAGTTGAAATCTCAACTTTTCCCTCTTCTTTTGACCACAAGCAACAGTAGTGTGAATATCTCACAATGCTCTCAAATAACAGGGCATTTTGGGAAATTAAGTCAGCAGATGCCAGCTGCCTGTGCTTTTTTCAGAGTAGAGCATGGGGGAGATACCAGACCTGGATCTGAAATAAGCTTGGAAAAGTAATCTTTTTAAAAAATACAATTTCTGGGATCCCCCAAGATTCTGGTAATTGTACCAAAAAGTCCCTTTCCTTAAGTGATAGTGATGACACTGTGGGAAACTTACCCAGTGCTGCCATATCTGGATTAATTTTTGCCAGTGCCAGAGATACAGCTTAATGGTGTAACATTAGAAAATGTTGGCCATTTCCGCTACCTTGGCAGCCACCTCTCTCCACCAAAGTCAACATCGACACTGAAATACAACACCACCTGAGCTCTGCGAGTACAGCATTTTTCCAAATGAAGCAGAGAGCGTCTGAGGACCGGGACATCCGTAGGGATACCAAGGTGCTTGTTTATAAAGCTATTGTCCTTCCAACCCTACTATATGCCTGCGAAACATGGACTGTCTACAGACGTCACATGCAACTCCTAGAATGATTCCATCAGTGCTGCCTCCGGAAAATCCTGTAAATTTCTTGGGAAGACAAACTGACAAATGTCAGTGTGCTGAAAGAAGCAAAGACCACCAGCACTGAAGCGATGGTCCTCCGCCATCAACTCCGCTGGACCGGCCACATTGTCCGCATGCCTGACCACCGTCTCCCAAAACAGTTGCTCTACTCTGAACTTAAGAACAGAAAACGGAATGTTGGAGGACAGGAAAAGAGATTTAAAGATGGACTCAAATCCAACCTTAAAAACTCTGGCATAGACACTGAGAACTGGGAAGCCCTGGCCTGTGAGCACTCCAGCTGGAGGTCAGCTGTGACCAGCAGTGCTGCAGAATTTGAAGAGGCACGAATGGAGGGCGAAAGAGAGAAACATGCAAAGAGGAAGGCGCGTCAAGCCAATCCCGACCAGGATCGCCTTCCACCTGGAAACCAATGACCTCACTGCAAGAGATGATGCAGATCAAGAATAGGGTTCCATAGTCACCTACAGACTCACCCTGGAGGATTATCCTACTCGGACAATGAGGGATCATCTAAGTAAGTAAGTAGGATTAATTTTTGTCTATACATTTGAATCACAAGTTTTAGCACAGTTAAAAAGAAAACAGTTGTAAAGAGGAGGGAATTTTCCTCACAAATTGCACGTTCTGATTTTAAAAGGTTCTCCAAAGACCTTATATGAAAAGATACACAATTATTTTTCTTTGTGCTTCCCAGCAGAACTTACCATTGACAACAATCATTTCGCTCTTGTCAGATGATTGGGCTTGATTGTCAGCTCTGCAAAAGTACCTCCCTGCATCTTGACTTGTGATTCCAGTCCTATGCCAACGAGCTGGTTTTTTCTCCCCCTGTGTTACCCAATATAAGGGTTTTGCATTATTTTCTTGAAGAAAGCTGAAGTTGATAGGAAAAGATCCAGAGCGAACACTGCAAAAAAGCGTAAAATCTTGGCCATCTTCCACATCCCCTTTTGGGAGTTTTGCAATCATCACGTCATGAACTGGAGCTGTGGATTACAGTACAAAGGAAAGGCTTAAGAGATTGTATAGCGGTGTGGCAATAAAAATTTTATTATATGTAGTCAGCTCTCCAGATTCGTTGTGGTTAGGAGTGCACCCCCTTCTCCACACACACAAGTGGGAAAATTGCAAATAAAAATCTATTTTTCACCTGAGATAATACATCCCTAGGAATCTCTATCCTCTGGTGCAACTCTATAGCCAACTTCTCTGAGAGGTTGACCATAGATTCATGCTGGAGAACCTACTAATGCATAGAGAAGGATTCTCTTTGGGAATACCTAGGTCAGTCATCTTCTTACTGTGGCCCTCCTACTATTTGGACCTTCAGCTCTCATTTAGCAAGCTGGCTAGGGCTTCTGAGAGTTGGAGGCCCAAACAGCTGAAGGGTCACAGTTTTAAGATGCCTGACCTAGATCCTCCAGTGAATTTTGCACTATAACAAAAGCAGAGAGAGAAAAATTGCCGTTCAAACCACAGGGCCATCTCTGAAAACCACACTCCAGCTATAAAAACGCCAAGGAACTCTAATGCAGATCTATAAAAAACAAAACCCATAACTCCAAAAATTCCACAAAATGAATGGAATCAGTGGATGTGGAGTAATGTAATTCAGCTCCAGTGGGCAATATTCTGTCCCAGTGTGGCCTTGTGTTAATGTCACACTCAAACTAGCAAAAGAGTTCCTCACCCAAAGTCACAATGGCACAAAAGTGAATTTCTACTATTCTCCATGTTTTCAATGAATCATATATCCATCTGAACCAATTGCCTTTGTTGTTCACCTGCCATTATTACACTCCCACTGGATGGCCCCTAATGATCTTTGGGGTCGAGGAATGAGTACTAAGAATCCATCCCTATACCAAAAACAGCAAACCAAAACAGGAATAATCAACCCCCCCCCCCCCCAAATCAATGTCTATTTTGGGGAAATGATATCAGTGCAAGGCAGCTCTGTGACCTATTTAAGAGAGGAAATGTTATTCCTGGAGTAGCCAGCGGTGTATCTACACTGGGCATGGGCAAACTTCGGCTCTCCAGGTGTTTTTAACTTCAACTCCCACAATTTCTAACAGATGGTAAGCTGGCTGGGATTTCTGGAAATTAAAGTACAAAACATCTGGAGGGCCGAAGTTTTCCTATGCCTGCTGTAGAATGCCTGCTATTTGACATGTTTTAATTGTTATGGCTCAAAGCTAAGGAATCATTGGAGCTGTAGTTTGACAAGGTCTTTAACTTTCTCTGCCAAAGAGCTCTCCAAATTACAACTACCATAGCATTGGTAGCCATGGTACTTAAGTGGTTTCAAACTGCATTCATTCTACAGTGTAAATGCACCCCAGGACAGTGGAGGGTGTGAGCAGAGGCGGCCCTAGGTAATTTTCAATGGTAACCAAACAGTATTTTGGTACCCCCCAACCAATCACTGATATATAATTTCTGTTCGTCATGGGAGTTCTGTGTGCCATCATTGGTGGAGTTCAGAATGCTCTTTGATTGTAGGTGAACTATACATCCCAGTAACTACTCGCATATGTCAAGGTCTATTTTCCCCCAAGAGCGCCTCAAGGGCGCCCTTGGGCAAAATCAACTATACTGCAAATGTTTACTTTGTGTAATGGGTTGAGACGCCCCTGGGTGTGAGGGCTGGAAAGACTGCCCAGGAGTGGGCATCTGTGCCTTCAGAGGGGCATTCGACCTACCTCAGATTAGGGGAAATCTGAACATCTGCAAACAGGTAGATGTCAACCAAGGACTGCTACCTAAATAACTGGAAGAGGACAGATCCGTCTTGCTGTTCATAGTTAGGCTCCAAGAGAAAAAGCTGCATCCTCATGAGTACACAGAAGATTTGATAGAAAACATCTGGGGACTACACTGGGTCTTCAGGCATCTAGTAGCAGATTTATACCTTGACTCTTTTAAACCTCCCAAGCTACTCACTCTATTTAAACAGTACCATTACCCCAAATACTTACCTATCACTGTAACGTTTAACCCAGTGCTTTTCTCGGTACGTGAATGACCATTTTGAGCACGGCACGTGTATTCCCCTAGATGCAAATCCATTGCTTGGACTTCAAAAATGGCTGCCTTGCCTTTGGCTTCCATTGTCTTGTTCATAACAAACACGTTTCCTCTGTAGAGAGTATACGTTATGGGCGGAGTTCCTTGTGTGGAATTGCAGTATAAAACAAAATTCTTCCTCAGCACTGCTACTTGGTAAGCCGGTTGGAAAAGGGCGGGCTGGGAAACTGGAGCTGAAAAGAAACCCAAAAGTAATCCATAACTGACATGAATAATCTGATTTAGAGTTGTTTCATTTAAAGGTTTAGAAAGCATATAATAAGAAGTGGGGATGTACAAAGTTGGCAGGAAATACTCTCTGCACTGGAAGATTGCACATACAAAATGCAGAGGGGGGCTGTGATGGCACATAGTGGGTTAAAGATACTCTCAACACATACAAAACCACTCTCTTCTCTAGGCTGTGAAATGGGATTATTCTTATTATTATTGTATCAAAAGCATTGAATAAATTAGTATAAAACTGATAAAAATAGAAGGAGCGCAGGCGGCTAAATATCCTTTGACCAAAAACGGGTAACAGCAATGGCATTGTCTGTAGCCTCCAACAACTCTTCTTCTGTACATGAGGCAAGGCATAGTGGACAAGCATACAGATGCGGAGTTGTCTGTTCTGCTCCACAGTAACACAAGGTGTGGGATTCTTTTAGGTATTGCCATTTTGTCAGGTTGCCTTTTGATCTGCCCACTCCACTTCTGAGTCTGTTCAGGGACTTCCAAGTTGCCCATTCTTGGTTTGCCCCTGGAGGAAGACCCTTGGGGGGGGGGGCATCCAGTTGGGATTTCCTGGTTTAGCTGCCCAGAGGGATACCCTTGCTGTTGCTGGGGGACGCCAAGAGGAGTGGTAGTTCTCATAAAGCTTTTCCTTGATTTGAGTCTACTGGGAGGAGGCTGGTAGCCATGTAGTGGTGGCTTTCACAGTGTTCAACCTTATTTCTCTCACATTTAGCAGCAACTTCCCGTCGCACATCGGGGGGGGGGGGGCAATGCCAGCTAGCTTGTAGAGTTTATCAACAGGTGTAGGTTTAAGACATCCTGTGATTATTCTGCATGTTTCATTCAATGCTATGTTCACCTGCTTTGCATGGGCAGACTTATGCCAAACAGGGCAGGCATACTTGGCAGTTAAGTAAGACAAGGTAGGGCTGATGTTCTTATTAATTTGGGGTCTGCACCCCATGTGCTGCCAGTAAGTTTCCGCAGGATGTTATTGTGCGCAGCTACTTTGTACTTGGTGTTCAAGCACTGTTTCCTATATGCTAGTGTTTGATCTAAGGTGATACCAAGATATTTAGGATGGAAACAATGTTCAAGCTCTTGACCTTCCCAGGTGACTTTCAATTTCCTGTTGGCTTTACGGTTGCATAGGTGGAAAGCACACACTTGTTTCTTGGCAGGATTAGGCTTCAGTTGGTTATCTCTGCAGTAGCTGGAGAGATCTTTCAAGGCACTAGTAAGTAAAATGGGATGAAGCCCCAAGTACTCCTATGCTGACTAGTGCTGTTGAGACATGCAATGCCACAACACCTAGAGGGCTGGTGTAAGGGTTCAAGACATCCCAGGTTAATGGAGGATACAGAAGATCTCTAGATCCTTTTAATGAAAATGGATTCTCAGGCCCCATCTACACTGCCATATAATCCAGTTTCTGACCCCAGATTATGTGCTTTGAACTGGAGTGTATGTCAGTGTAGATTGATACAATTCAGTTCAAACCAGATAATCTGGATTCAGAAACTAGATTATTATATGGCAGTGTAGATCCAGCCTCAGAGTTAATTCCCTGGCTCCCACTGCCCCATCTCTCAAGGATTGCTATTAACTATCACTGCAAAATTTCCAAGACCACCTTGTTTCTGTCAGTCAGCAAAAAGGACAATGGTGTCCTGTCCTTTTCTGTCCCCTTTCCTGATCTTTCCCCATTTAGGACATCCAGCCCTACACCTATCCCATATGCATGCTCTAGTCATTCAATTTGATCTCCCACAATGAGAGCTTGGCTGTCCCATGTAGAAGTGTTTTGGACTCTCTTGTCGCTCCTTTAATCCTTTTCCACTCCCATTTGACAAAATGTGTGATCAAACACCCACCCACTATGTGTGGACAAATATGAACTGAATGTTAATAATTGCTTGCGTATCAAAGAAGGCAAGGCCCACTTACCATAAACACGTACCAATACTGGGTCACTCTCCTTGACAATCCCCTTCACCTCAGCCCTACATACGTAGGCTCCACTGTCAGATACCTGGGCTCTACGACTATAGATTCTGGAGTATCCCAATACTACGTTGTTCTTCAGGAGAGTGAAGTTTATTGATGGGTGGCCATTAGCATGACATTGAACTACTAAGAGGCTGTGTTCATCCAAGTTTGGTTTGGGAAGAATCAATTTTGGTTTGGAAAACAGCTCTGTAATATATATGGAAGAGAGATACAGGCAGTCAAGGCAGTTAAAAACTTTCTACATGGTCAATATATAATGTAACAACAACAAGAACATCAGTCTAATGATGATAAAGGATCCAGCCATCTTTCAGAAAACCACAGCATTTCTATTTTGGGAATACAACCAGCCATCCACATTTGCGAATTTTACTTTGGCAGATTTGATTGTTTGTGGATTTAATTTTTTAAAAAATTCTAGAACCTCCAATGTGCTCCTGTGTTCAACTTGATTTTAACAATGATGCTGGAGGACCTAGAGATTTCTAGAGAGAACACATCTCTATGAATCCTTGGGTATTCCAGTAGAATCTGTTGGAAGTTGACCATAAGAGTCATGCCTTATAGAGCAATGAGATATTCCTACAATGGTACTCTCTTTTAAAAAAATAGCAATTTTATTATTTGCAGTTTTTTCTTACCTTTGCAGCAATCTTGCACCCCTGCCCCCAGTGAATGTGGAGGGCTGTCTGTATAACCCTTGTCCATTAACAGCAGGAAAAACCCATCCTAGCCCCATTCAACCTGTCCTTTCCCACAGCACTGAATGAGTGTTCTGAGCAAGTACCTCAAATCCTCATTGAGTCGTGCCTGTTTTAAACCCATCACAGTGGATTATTTGTGTGTGCTGTCTTATTGGTAATGTTGTATATTTTATTGTCTATGTTTTTATTTCAATTGCTTGTACTGTTGTATTCGGGCTCGGCCTCATGTAAGCTGCACCGAGTCCCTTGGGGAGATGGTAGCGGGGTATAAATAAAGTGTTGTTGTTGTTGTTGTTGTTGTTGTTGTTGTTGTTGTTGTTATTATTTTAATATTAGCCTTGACTATGGATAAAAAATCATTATTACTATGAACAAAAACATTTGCTTTTTAAATCAGTTTCTTATTTGGCCAATCCTTTAAGACTGTAGCTCTCTATAACGGAAGTACATCTTACAAAACATGCATTGGATTACTCTGAAAGTGATTATTTGGGGAACCCAAGGGGATAATTTTAACTGGGGAGAGCTTTGAGTTAGCATACCTCTTTGTCTTTGTCATTTGTCTTTGTCTTTGTCATTTGTTTCTATAATAAGGAATAGCAATATTAAACCATTCAGTATGGAACAAAACTATTAAAGACAGTGTATTGTTGAAGGCTTTCATGGCCGGAACCACTGGGTTGTTGTAGGTTTTTTCGGGCTATATGGCCATGTTCTAGAGGCATTCTCTCCTGACGTTTCACCTGCATCTATGGCAATGCTTGCCATAGGATGCTTGCCATAGATGCAGGTGAAACATCAGGAGAGAATGCCTCTAGAACATGGCCATATAGCCCGAAAAAACCTACAACAATCCTATTAAAGACAGTCTTTACTAGATAGGACTATCTATGTTAAGGAATCTAATCTGAACATTTTAGAATCAGTTGCTGGAGTAAACTCGTTAAGTGTTACTGTACTGTAGCCATCTAAGAATAGATCTACACTATAAAATTAATGCAGTTTGATGCCACTTTCAATGCTATGGAATCAAGGGATTTGTAATTTGGTGAAGAATGCGAATTTTGACAGTGTAGATGCACCCTAAGTCTTTGCTAGTTGACATTAGCAATTGGATTTTTGCAAAGATCCATAGCCTTCTCTGATTTTCTGCCTTAAGACTTTAAGTCATACAGAATATCAACCATTTTTCCTCCCTTCTTACTTTGCTTATAATGAAATAGTTTGGGGAAACTGGTGGCCTTTTGAGTTGGCTTAATTAGAAATACAAACTTTCAATTTGTTGGGGCGAAAGAAATGCCTTCTTTTTGTGTAACAGGAAATGCTGAGTCAACTAATTTGGGGGAGAAAGCAGATAAAAGTGAGGGGAACCATCTTCTTAGCACTGTATTATGTGCCTCTCCATGTCATTTAAAAACAGAATTTACCACCTCTTCATATGGTCCTTTAGGGCCATGGCATTTCACCGGCAGTTGCCAGCAAAAGAAAAGGCACGCAAGGCAGCTTGTGGTGCTCTGTGCACTCTCCCTCATTCCCTTATCATAAGGTGGGGATGGGACAGGGTGCATTGGCTGGGAGAAAGAGCAGCAATGTGCAGCAACGCATGTTGTCCTGCCACCCATTCCCCCATCATACAGGGGAAAGGGGAGAAAAATGCAGGTAGCTCCATTGGAGCTACCCGAAACACACTTTCCTCCCCAGAGTGGCAGAGGAAGCACCTTTTGGCACTTCCCCTTTTGGCACTTCCCCTCCGCCTCGTGTGATGGCGCATAGCAAGCCCCATTCAAGCCACAAAACAAAGCAGCAAATCGGGGCTAAAATACCCCATGTGTAGAGGTCCTAATCTCCCTCTTCAACCGTGATAGACTCCTACTACTTCAACAGCAATCACCTGCTTCAGTTGTCCTCACACAGGGAAGTGCAACTCCCATCCCTATCGCTTTCTTTTCCTTTTTTTAAAAAGGGAAATTGTGCGATAGCATAAGTGAAAAGTGAGCTGTCCGTTTTGAAATAAAATGGATGATTCCCAACCTTCATCACATTTTAAGTGTAGCACTCAGTGGAATTTAGTAAATGTGAAGAAGCTCTACTCTACCAAACACTTCCCTACTTCAATGTGATGAAGTCCCTAGCAAGTTTGCATGGCTTTTTCTGGGGTTGTATGATTCTCAATTTCTACCATTGCTTTGGCTTATCGTTGTGATATCTTTCGATAAAGTAAATAGTTTTATTTGTACTGCTAGCCACCAAGGATCTGTCCTTTTGGAGTAATGGTGGCAAGAGTAGAATTGAGGAGGAAAACTTAAAATCACCTACTTGAACACCCACAAGTAAACATCATAAAGCAATAATAAACTGAGAAATCCAACAGTTGCCATCACACCTTAAAGTACATGTCTTTTACTGCTTCTAAGAGCATAAAGACTTCTGGAGTCAATTGCCACTTTGCTCCAAAAACGCCCAATTTCTAAATACTTTAAAAACAGAGTCCCACAGGCAACACCAGGAAATAGTCTTGTATTGTTTGATGGCCTCTGTGGAACTCTGATTTTAAAGTGTTTAGAAACAGGGGAAAGTCTGCACAAGGTGGGGTCCTAAGCTTCAAGCTTCCCTTGCTTCTAGAACTATTTCTGGGCTTGAGGAAGAGTGGTACGAAATAATTGCCCTTGATGAATATCTTTCAGAGTCAATGTTGAGTCTGCCTAAAATAAAACAGCCAGCATGGCAAGCACCAAGAATGATATATGCAGCAAGGAGAGCACGTGATAGCTGTACTGAGAGAAATATCATCTGGCTGTAACAAATGAGGTGCCATTGAATTTTTTCCTGGACCCTTAATGCAATGTCCCAGGTGGGCACTTTCAAGGAGACATTTATGAACTTACTGCAGTTAGAGAAAATTATGAATGCTAGCATATACTATTGAAGGAATGACTTTTGATGGAAGCATACTATACTCATGCTGGAAGATGTAGGAAATACTTAGAGAGGAGACCTCTAGGAATTGCAACGTCCTCCAGTCAAATTCTATGGTGATCGCCTGGTAGAATTATGACATGGCATGCCCAGAGGACTTTTTTTTAAAATGAAACTGAAGGGACCCATTCTGCAGATATGAGGATCATGCTGTACTACTTTCATCAAATGCCTATGCTGCAAATTAGCACAAGTAAAACAGAGAAAGCTCTTACCAGTCACTACCACATTTGCTACGCTAGTTTTGGACACACTCCCCAGTTCCACTTTGCACGTGTAACTGCCATTGTCTTCCATGGTGGCTATTTTGGAGTATGTCACTCTCTCTCTTCCCTTCATGCTGTTAAGGATGGTTCTGTTCTTCTGGATTAGGATCTCTGTTTGATCTGGACGACCCAAGATAGTTGTACATTCAATGTCAATTTTATCCCCCTCTGTAATGTTTTGCAGTGGGTGGATAGTTATTTTGGGATTGGAAAATGGTTCTAGAAGAGAAAGAGAAGGAAAATAAAATACACAATAAAATATCACAGGACTTTGTAATCATTCAGTGAATCATGGTTGTAGAATTTACTATGACTCTATTTGGACTCAAGGTGCAGCTATGATGATGGGGACATATGGATCCAACTTGGAACTCAATATACATTAGCCATTTAGATATTGCTAGTATTTGCACATCATGATAAGTCATGGTGTGGTTTGTTGAAGTCTGACTTTTTGTGATGTGTGAATACCATCTCTGCTAATAATCCATTGTTTCTTAATCGGTCACAAACCACAATCTTAACCACTGATGGGATTGATAGATTCTTGTTTAAACCAAGATTTGTTATGCTATCCTGCTCTGCAATTGTTGCTTCTCTCTGACTTGTTTTCCCATTGATTCCACTCAGAAACCAAAACTGGCAAAACAGCAGAAGGGGGAAACTTTCAGATGAGGAAGATAAACCAGCTTTGTTTGTTTGCTGACTGTACAATTCAGCACTTAAAAAATATTACAGCTAATGCAGAGTAGAAATTCCTGTTAAATATGAAAACACTGACTACATTCAACTAACATATGGAAGCACCAGGCTTTGATCATCTGATTTATACATATAACTGAAATTCAGGCATATAACCCACATTTAAATATCTGCATATGAAGAGCTTTCCAGCCATGTGATTTCTATATGTCTTTTCCTGACCAAAATGAAGCCCTTCATCTTGCCGTAGTAGTACTAGAGCTTCCTCAAATGGATGTAATGAAGGTTCCTAGTTTAGAGGCAAAGCCACTGCTTCCATATATGTTCATGAAAAGAATGTAATATTTCTGGTCATCTAATTTTGGAATATGCCCTTCTGCCTAGAGAAAAACAACAAAAAACTTTACAAAAAGTCAAATTATAGGCTCCTCTATATAGGGCAAATATATCTGGGGCTTGCAGCATTTCTTATTGTAGTTCTCAGAATGTGTACATATACTGTATATACTCGCGTATAAGCCTAGTTTTCCAGCCCATATTTAAGGCTTAAAAAGCCCCCCTCGGCTTATACTCGAGTCAAGAGTATTTATTATTTTACTCTAGTGTTGTTGTTGTTATTGTTGTTTTACTCTATTTATTATTATTATTATTATTACATTTATAATTTAATTTCATTGTTGTTGTTGTTGTTACATTTATTATTTTACTTTATTTATTATTGTTATTATTACACTTATTATTTTAATCTATTATTATTACATTTCCATTATTTTACTCTATTATTATTATTATTATTATTATTATTATTTAATTTATTATTTTACTCTCTTTATTATTATTGGAAGAATACATAAGCACATTTACATTGAAGAAGGTTAGAATAATTTAAGTAATCAGAAGATCTAATTTGCCAAATAGTCACTGTTGGATGTTTTTATGTTGAATGTTTTTATATTGTGTAAATGGTATTTTAGACTGTAAGTCGCTTGGAGCACCTTGGTGGAGAGCGACTAATTAAGAAATAAAGTGAAGTGAAGTGAATAATGGACAGTCTTATCTTAAATTACAGTTTTATGTAAATATTGATAAACCTTTAATCTACTGATGCCTCAATTAATGTAATTTATTTATTTACAGTCATAGAATCATAGAATCAAAAAGTTGGAAGAGACCTCATGGGCCATCCAGTCCAACCCCCTGCCAAGAAGCAGGAATATTGCATTCAAATCACCCCTGACAGATGGCCATCCAGCCTCTGTTTAAAAGCTTCCAAAGAAGGAACCTCCACCACAGTATTTATATTCCTCCCTTCTCACCCCGCAGGGGACTCAGGGCGGATTACAATGTACACATATATGGCAAACATTCAATGCCAAAGACAGACAACAGATATAGACAAACAGTCAGAGGCTATTTAACTTTTTCTGGCCGCCAGGGGAGCTGTCGTTTTCATCGTCCATCTAGACACTGATTAAGTACTTCCACATTCCCCGCATGCTTTGCTGGAGTGCTTTGCTGGAGTCTTTTTTATGGCCTCGTAAATTTTTGTTACATTAGCCTTTCCACACATAGGTGGTACCTAATTTTCCTACTTGACAGATGCAACTGTCTTTCAGGTTGCAAAGGTCGACAACAAGCTACACAATTGGTTGGAAGCTCACTCCGACCCGGGATGGCTTCAAACTCATGACCTTGTGGTCAGAAGTGATTTTAATGCAGCTGACACTCAGACAGCTGCGCCACAGTCCTGGTAGATACCAATTTTATTGGTATCTATTTTTATTTTGAAATTTACCAATAGCTGCTGCATTTCCCACCCTCGACTTCTACTCGAGTCAATAGGTTTTCGCAGATTTTGTGGTAAAATTAGGTGCCTTGGCTTACATTCAGGTCAGCTTATACTCAAGTATATATGGTAGTCTCTGTTTATGAAAGATCCCAATGATGTTTCTGTACACCTAAACTATTTTCTGGCACTTCTTAGCACCAGCTGCAATGTTTTATTCCTACTTTCACATCAGTTTCTTTTTAATTCAGAAACATGTAGGAACAATACATTTCTTTCTCTTCTCTTCCCTTCTTTTAAAAGTTTAAGAAAGAATTATAGTGCTACTATACACTATAAATCAGAAAAGGCTATGCATTTTGGCAAAAATCCACTTGCTTTTACGCTATAGCTCCATGACTCTTGGATTTTTTTAAAAGAACAATTCAGACAGGGGAAAAACTGGCCTTCAAAGTATAGGACTATTTCAGCACACCATGTCCAAATGCTGACATAAGAAATCTCTAAAGTCAGAATAGAATAAGTAGAAGCAAAGACAACAACTGTTGGATCAGTTTGGAAGAGCCCTATAACTTCAATGTACTTAAGTAACATTATGATGGCAGTACAGTAGAAGATAGAAGTTGTACATTTTAGAAAAAAGATGCCATGGACGTGAAAACCAGCAAATTCAAAAATTAGTGAAATGTCTAGAAATTATTAAAAACTTCACCAACTTACCGATCACAGTAACTATTGTTCTGTTACTTGGCTCTGACACTTCTTGGCCTGTCATTGAATTCATTTTGACAGTACATTCAAATCGCAAAATCTTGTCTCCCACATCAACAGGAAATTCAAACTCAGCAAAGTTTTTATTCACCGGTCCCTGGTTCCTGCTCTTTCTCAATGGATCTGGAGCCTGTCGGGTTTTATAAAATGTGAAATAAAACGGAGGCTTTTCTTCTGGTATTTCACAACGTAAAGACACTTTCTCTCCTTCCATCACTTCTTCTTGCCGGACAATCAGTTTTGGTTTTGTTATTCCTGTTGGGAAGGAAACCATCTCAGAAATTAACCAAATGTGCTGGTTTGAGGGACAAACTAGATTTTTTATAATCATATTGGAACAACCCTTGGGACACAGATCTACTTTTGTAAAAGATATAATACAGCTGTTACATGGGAGCCCTTGTTTAAATAACCACAGGCTCTCACTGCCTGTCTATAGTAGAAATAACACATTTGTAGGTCTGATTTTTGCAGATTTGATTATTGGTGGATTTGGTTTAAATGTCCTCTCTAGGAATATCTAGGTCTTCCAATGCAGCTGCGTGGTCAACTCGCCCCAGAAGAATCATGTTGGAAGACCTAGAAATCCTTAGGAAGGATACCGCTCTAGAAAAAATATCTTTCTAATTCCTCCAACGCAATTTTACTGCCTGCTTTGGTGGATGTTGACCAAATAGTCATGCTGGAGGATTAAAAAAACATTTTCCATCATGTGGAGGGTTTACTTTATTTGATTTGAAGTCAGTGAAAAGGATGGGGAGAGGCTGTGAGGAGGAAAACATGTGTGAGAGCTTGAAAGTAATGCATGCCTTCAGTACACAAGGAAATAAGTGGAAGGAAGAAGTATCACTTTCACCAAGGCCTACCAAAGTTAGTTTATTTAGACTACCACTCCAAGAATCACCATCCACTACCATGAATGTTACAGTTCCCAAAGTTATGTTGAAACTCAACCACATCTTGTAAAAACTTGTAGTCCTCAACAAGGACCAAGATTGGCAGATGAGATAGTTGGCAGAGAACACCCTTCCTCCATTGGCCTCTTTGACTATCTGTCTTCATTTTTATCATCCTATCACCTTTCTTGTTAGACTGAGGGCCTCATCACATGGAAGATGGAAAAAGGCCAGCAAACAGGCCTTTTTCCATCTATGACAAGCGAGGCAATTGGCACCCTAACTATCTGATGAGGCTCTGGCAACAGTCATCCATGCCACGGTCACGTCTAGGCTGGACTATAGCAAAGCCCTGTATATTGGCCTTCCGATGTCTACGACCCGAAAACTCTGTATTGTTCAGAATGCGGCAGCCAGGCTACTCACAAGGACACCCTTTTTTTTTTTTTTGTCGTGTCAGGAGTGACTCCTGGTGTGAGAGAATTGGCCGTCTGCAAGGATGTTGCCCAGGGGACGCCTGGATGATTAGATGTTTTTATCATCCTTGTGGGAGGCTTCTCTCATGTCCCCGCATGAGGAGCTGGAGCTGATAGAGGGAGCTCATCCACCTCTCCCCGGATTTGAACCTGCGACCTGTCGGTCTTCAGTCCTGCCGGCACAGGGGTTTAACCCACTGCGCCACCGGGGGCTCCAGAACACCCATGAAATGCCATATAACACCAGTGTTGCGGCATTTGCATTAGCTTCCAACTGATTGCCGTGGTCTATATAAGATGCTAGTTCTGACCTTTAAAATTATTTACGGCCAGGGTCCATTGTACCTTAGGGACTGCATCTCCTTCTCCCAGCATAGGAGGTGGCAACGACCAGTCCAACGTGACTTACTTTATATACCGGGTCCTAGAGAAGTGCATTTGGAAAGGACCAGACGCAGGGCTTTTTCTGTTTCTGCCCCTGCCTTATGGAATTCCTTGCCGCCCTATATGAGAGCCATGCGTGAGTTGGGGCCTTTTACCCTAGCACTTAAGACCTGGCCTTTTACTAGAGCTTTTGATGTATGTTAATTTTATCAATATCTGTATGAATGTATTTTTATCCTTTACAATTTTAGCTTGTAAATCGCCTAGAGCATCTTGGATGGAGGGCGATTAATAACTAATTAAATGATGATGAGTGAGATGATTATTTAAACTTTAAAACACTTAATCAGTATGCATCCTGTATTTGTTTACAAGAGGATGCATACATCCCCCACCACACACATTTCTTACTGTTTTAAGTAATCCGTTTTACTCATCACACCACAGAAGCTTTATTCTTCCCAATTTGTAATTTCTGCATACATCACCCCCACCCCTTTTTAATGTTTTTTTTAATTGCAAAGTGCCAGTGGCAGGTAAAAGTCTCACAGTTTTGAAAACACATTTAAAAACAGGACTGAAGACTTCTCTTGTCATGTAGTTAGAGACAAATTGTGACAGCTCCCTTCATGACAAGTCCCAGGATCTGCAGGGATCATCCACAGACACGCCCCCAATAGAGACATCACAGCACAGGGGACGGGAATGCTTACTGCTTCGCCAATCACACATGAAAGCAGCGCATTTCATACAATTTATATTTTAAAACACAATATGAAACCCGTGTCCAAATACTCTGTTTCTGACATTTTTTGCACATGGTTTTCAATGGGTTGACAGTGACAGGGGACAGATGCCATTTAATGGGACCAGTTAGACAGAAAGCTAGGCCCTGTTAACTTTCCAGTTTAGTAATGTAGATCATGGATGGTGAGTTCACGGGTGTGGGGAAGGCGAGAAAGGGGTTGTTAGTATGTTGTAAGTTAAGGTTTTTTAGACCGAAAAGTACCTGAATCAGCCACCTACCAGCATGAATTATTGAGCCCTCCAGTTCAATGTTTAAAGTTAAATTCTGCATGGTGGGTGCCACAACAGAGTTCTTCCATTCTCACTTTAGAGCAGTGGTTCTCAACCTGTGGATCTCCAAATGTTTTGGCCTTCACCTCTCAAAAATCCTAACAGCTGGTAAAGTGGCTGGGATTTCTGGGAGTTGTAGGCCAAAACACCCAGAGACCCATAGGTTGAGAACCACTGCTTTAGAGGCTTGCTCTTCTGTTCATTGCCTTTTTTGGTATTTCATATGAATGAAAGTATTGTAGCCTTCTTGTCAATTGATTTTTTCAAAGAGAATGCTATTGCTTTGGATTTCCCCCACTGAGCAGCATGTTGGACCAGACGGCTGCAAGTCTAACACTAAGAAAATATGTGTGCAATGTGTCAGTCATGAAAAGAGCAGTCATTTACACAGCAAATGAAACTCAGCAATCTTTGGTACAGTTGCTAAGAGTCCCCTACTGCCAAATGCAATGGCAGGGACAGTCAATATGGAAGAAGATAGACACGCTACTCCTGGCTGTATAAGCCAAAAGTAATACGTTGAATTTAGGTCAGTATGATGAAAAGTCCCACTAAGCACAGTGTGTGCTAAACATATAATTGAGATTTGGGTCCAACCCAGGTAGCAAATTCTCCAATGAACAATTGGTTCCTGATGAGTTATTGCTGAGAGAAAAGTTGTAATTATTGATAGGTACTTGAAAATATTTTTGTAGTACAGGGGAGAAGTGTCTGGAATTAACAAATGAGAGAGAAAGAGCTTTGTTGTCAAGGCTGAAAATCCTGGAATTGAAAATGCAGTCAGGTGAGAAATAATTGTGAGGAAAGTACATAAACTGAGCCGATGTTTCATCTGTGTGGAAACAAAAGCAGATGGAGGTGCCAAAGTGTAGAAGACCAAAGTGACAATTGCTTGGGACACCAATACACAGCAGGAAAACAAGGGGAAAAAGAAAGGGGGACAAGGAAAAATAATCCTCACATTAATAGAAGGGGAATATTGTGATTAACATTTCATATGTAGAAATGGGAGCTTAAAATATTACAAAGCACTAATGGATGGAGTTGCATTGTTTAAGTAACACATTACACCATACTGGCTATGAGCTGTGTGATGAATTCCCAACTTGTTAGGCTAGGGAAAGCCTAGAAAAGTAGGCCCAGGAAGTTCGGCAGCCATTTTGGAAAGGGTGCCGGGGGAATCAATTTTAGATACTCAGGGGGCGTGTTTAGAAACAGCTTGGAGGGAAATGTGGGGAGTTAGTGATTGGCTGGGAGAGAGTGGGCGGAGCTTAACTTAGAAAAGGGGAAAATGACTTTAAAGGGGGGGGGGGGTTAAAACCCTGTCAGCTGAGATGGAGTCTGGGTGTCAAAGAAGAAAGCGTTAGGAGTTTGGAGTGGAGAAGAGAATAGTGAGAGAGGTCTGAAATTAATCAGTTAGCTAGCAGAGATAGCTAGTGAGAAGATTTTACATCTATTAGGGAAGATAGCTGGTAGAGGACTGAATAGATAGATCCAGGAAGAGACTATCTGTGGAGGAGTTTAGAATTGCTTGGCTGAGAGGAAATCCTGTCAGTAATTTCTGGAGGGAGAGAGGAGTGTTACTTGCAACTAAGTTTGAACTGCTTAAAGAAATCACAGGCTTTTAAATCATTACTTCAGAACAGCTAAGCATAATGCCTGTTTTGTTCAAGTTATCTTAAATAAACATCATTGTTTTATTGTTCACAGCATCTGTCTCATGTGTGCCTCTGTGGGTGAAGTTTTAAAAGCAGTTTTCTGCAGCAATCAAAAGTCTAACGGTGGCAGCGTATATTTTAAAAGAGTAATATTTTCAGTGTTACCTCAGAACACATGCCTGAGTGCTAATCCAGCACACTCTTGCCTAAGATACTTCAAGTAAGCCAAGGGCTTAACCTTGCTTTTAAGTTTGGTGGTGGCCTGAGTTCTTTCAAAAGGTTTTTCAGCCAGAAGAAGATAGTTCCAGCTTATTACAGCTTCTGCTTTTGATTTTGGTTTTAATTAGAGAAGCCACATTCCTAGAACAAGGGGTGTACAGCTTGCTGGATTTATTATTTAAATAGTCCCACATTCCTTTACAACTGGTGGCAAGCATTGGGATTTACACTTAGATAATCCCCCTACCTTTTATATTTGGCGTATAAGTGTGGGATTTTATGCCCAAATAAGCCCAAATCTTTATAATTGGTTATCAGCAGGTGGGATTATTTCTCTAAATGTCTCTATCCTTTATAAGCTGCCACACACACACATATAGGCCAAAAACAAAATCAGCCACAGCAACTGCTCCAAAGGCATCTTAAAGTAAGAAGCAAATGTTTAAAATAAGAACCAAAAGTACATTAGTAGTCCTCACATTGCTTTGCAAAAATACTGTTGCTTCCCATCCATTGCTCTGAAACATCATGCATTAGAGGTAATATTGTTCTTTTAAGCTCTGGCATAAAAAACAACACTGTTTTAGCATTGTGAACATCCAAAAAATGAAGATGCGCCTACCTTTCACGTTCACAGTCACGGGTTCACTGGACCTTGTCTTCTCCTCTGCTCTCACTGTACAGTCATATTCTCCTGAATCAGAAAACCGAGCCTTGGGGATTGTATACTGTGCCCAGGCTTGTTCTGAGGTGCCGTTGTACAGAACTTTGTCACTCTTGGAAAATGAAAAGACGTAATTCAGCCTGAAGTGTTCGCTCTTAATGATGTCTGCAGAACAATTGAGAGTGAGCGGCTTCCCATTCGACACTTGCTCAGGAGGATCAGCCCGGAGTGTAACTTTATTGATGGTGAACACTAGAAAGGAAAACAGATGTTGGGGATACTGAGGTTTAGCAACAGCACAGAGCTCATTTCACAATTGACTGCAAGTGACCCATGATCTCCATGCCGTTCATTCATAGCACTGCATAAATGTCAGCCAATTCAAGAAACCCAAGTTGATTAATACAATTAATTTTACTTGGTTAAGCAACAAAAGTTACATCCACTGGAGTACAAGTAAAATCATTGCTCCAAATCACAGTCCAACACAAATAATTCTTAGTGTCTAGGTTTTTCAACCTGTTCCTAGGGTTATTTGGGGCCCTGAGTCAGAAAATTGCATTGGATAGATCTCATCAGCTCCAGTTACTTAGATATGGTTATCATGGTTGTTTGTGGGTGAGCAGATGGAAACTGGTAGAGGGCATATGTTCTCTATCTCAAGAACTAGTATGGATAGGGGAAAACCAGTGCCATTTTTGGAATCAACAGATCAAATATACACAGAAACAGAGCATCAAAATGTGTGTTGGCCAGTGATATGGACCATCATGTCTTTGCTTTTAGAAGATGTAGGCACTTGCTACATTAGAAGAGGTAGTTCCTCCTGTGAGAGCAAAAGGGAGAAAGGAAATACCTTTAGAGTTTGCAAGAACCCCAATCAAAGACCCCCATTTTCCTCTGTAGTTCCTCTCAAAATAGCAATAGGAAATGACACAAGAACACTTCCCGTTGCCATTTTGAGAAGGGATACAGAAGAAAATTGACTTATTTGGGCTTGGAGAGGAATAAGGGCTTCTATGGGAGGATCAGGGAAAAATTGGCCCTGGCAGTCAGTAAACTAACCATTCCTGTTATGAATGCTTCCAAAAACATAAATAGATTTTTGTAACTTCTACGAACTTGGTTGATTTTTTCTTCGACCAAAATATCTTCAGCCAACTAAGGCCCCATCTACATTGCCATATAATCCAGTTTTTGAATTCAGATTATTTGAGCACTAACCAGCATAGCTAGTTGTGAAGAATACTGACAACTGCAATGCACTGACCTTTGGGGTGCTGCACAATTCCCATCCCTGATTTATCAGATGTCTATACAGCTACTTTATATGGGCTACTGTGGTTAACAGTTTGTTTTTGGGCACAACTTCAAAGGCAGGCATGGGCAAACTTCAGCCCTCCAGGTGTTTTGGACTTCAACTCCCAGAAATCCTAGCTAGTTTACAGACTATTAGGAATTGTGGAGGGCCAAAGTTTGCCCATGCCTGAAAGTCATCTTGGACCAAGGCCAGGGATGGTGCCCTTCCTTATCAGCCATTTTGTGCTCGAGCATTAGATGAAGAGGCCCTTCCTAGTATCTCGGTTATGAGATGGGATTGAGCAGAAGGAACATTTTTTATGGCTGGACGGGAATTGTAGAATTCTTTCTCCCAAGCGAGATCACCAGACAACTCCTAGTTATTTCTGACATATCGCCAAAACAAACATACCTTCTTGATAAGGCAGATGTTTTATTGGCTGAGTAGCTCTGAGAGTTAGCATGGTATTAGAGTGTTAGATTGAGATACCAGAGTTATAATCCCCATCCAATCACTGAAACTCACTGGGTAACCTTAAATAAGTCACCCTCATAGGCCCCATCTACACTTCCATACAATACATAGAATCATAGAATCATAGAGTTGGAAGAGATCTCATGGGCCATCCAGTCCAACCCCCTGCCTCTGTTTAAAAGCTTCCAAAGAAGGAGCCTCCACCACACCCCAGGGCAGAGAGTTCCACTGCTGAACGGCTCTCACAATCAGGCAGTTCTTCCTCATGTTCAGATGGAATCTCCTTTCTTGTAGTTTGAAGCCATTGTTCCGCGTTCCAGTCTCCAGGGCAGCAGAGAACAAGCTTGCTCCCTCCTCCCTGTGGCTTCCTCTCACATATTTATACATGGCTATCATATCTCCTCTCAGCCTTCTCTTCTTAGGCTAAACATGCCCAGCTCCTTAAGCCTCTCCTCATAGGGCTTGCAGTTTAAAAACCACATTATATGGTCAGTGTAGACTCATATGGCAATGCAGATGGGGACAAAAACAAACGTTAGGGAAGACAATAGCAAACATCCTATGAATAAAACTTGTCAAGAAAAACCCTCAATATGTTTCAGTCAGCATATATTGGAAGGGATATAATAACAAGTCCCATCCACTGCAGTGTGGCAGTGTGAATCGTATAATCCAGTTCAAAGCAGATAATCTGGATTCGGAAACGGGATTATATGGCAGTGTAGATCCATCCTAAGAGAACAGTCATTGACTGAACTTTGCAATCCTCGTTTTCTGCATTTCTCTGTGTTGTGTGTAATAATAATAATAATAACAACAACAACAACAACAACAACAACAACAACAACAACAACAACAACAACAATAATGTATTTATACCCCGCCACCATCTCCCCAAGGGGACTCGGGGCAGCTTACATAATGCCAAGCCCAACAACACATCAATAAAACAACAAAACAGTAAGCAAATAAAACAATACAGTTAGTATAACTCACAAAATAACACACAAAAATTTTAAAACCTATGGCCGGGCCAGATGCAATAGATTAAAATTTTAAAATAAACATTGGGCATGAACAGAGGTAGGATGTATCTAAGCAGGGGGTTTTAAAGTATAGTGTAGGGAGAGCAACCCAACAGGTAGTCAAAGTGCTTCTGAGGACATCTGTGCACTGTAGCAACCAGCTCTCACCTGATATTCTTAAATTTCCAAATGCCCAACCTGTATAAAGTGACAGAACAATGTATTTATACTGTGGGGGATGCATTCCTTTTCCCTAACTAAGGGACTATTTCCATGCTATGTTTTTCCGCTGGCTGCAGCAGCTGCATGGGAAATCCTGCCCCCAAGAGTCACTTCCCAGAATCACAGAGGAATAAACAGATGTGTTTAAACTAGTGAGGTCTAAGCCTTTTTAGCCAGGACAAAAGAACCAGAGCTCCTCCTCCCTAATAAAAGGAATGGCAAAAGTAGTTGGGAAAAACTAGATGCTACACTGCACTGCACATCCTTTTACCAGAGTCCACCTCTTTACTAGGATATTTTTGCAGTATCTAAATCAGGGGTCCTCAAACTAAGGCCCGGAGGCCGGATACGGCCCTCCAAGGTAATTTACTTGGCCCTTGCTCAGGGTCAACCTAAGTCTGAAACGACTTGAAAGCACACAACAACAACAATATATTATATATTATTATATTTCATATATTTATACCCCGCCCTTCTCCCCACAAGGGGGACTCAGTGCGGCCTCACATGAGCATCAGAGGATGCTAACAGCATAAATACAATAAAAATTACAATTTATAATAAAATCATTTAAAAACATTATACTACATCATCCGTAAAATTTAACAATAAATTAATAGATTAATGTGCCCGTAAAACTAAGCCGAACCAGGAGAATCCGTATCGAAAAAAACCAAATTTCTTTTTCCTATTGCCGCTGGCCTGGTTCCAGAGCCAGGTCTTCAGAATGCCTGGTTCCAGAGCCAGGTCTTCAGTTGTCTTCTAAAGGACAGGAGGGAGGTGGCCAACCTGATATCTTTAAGGAGAGAGTTCCACAGATGGGGGGCCACTGCCAAGAAGGCCCTGTCTCTCGTCCCCACCAACCGCGTTTGTGAGAGTGGTGGGATCGAGAGCAGGGCCTCTCCTGATGATCTTAAGCTTCGTGATGGTTCAATCCTATCTCATCAGCCAAATCAGGCCCGCACTTCCCATTGAAATACTAATAAATTTATATTTATTAAAATTGTTCTTCATTTTAATTATTGTATTGTTTTTAAGTGGGGTTTTTTTTTTGCACTACAAATAAGATATGTGCAGTGTGCATAAGAATTCATTTGTATTTTTTTTTCAAATTATAATCCAGCCCTCCAACAGTTTGAGGGACTGTGACCTGGCCCTCTGTTTAAAAAGTTTGAGGACTCCTGATCTAAATAATCGAAGAACTAGCCAAGTTGGTGTAGAACTGGGATGCATCACTATAGAATTAATGCTGTTTGACACCACTTTAATTGCCGTGGCTCAATGGAATTACAAGGGTTATTATTTACAAGTTCTTTAACTTTCTCTGCCAAATGGTGTCAATGGCTCAGCAAGCAACAATTCCCATGATTCCTTAGTACTGAGCAATGGCAGTTCAAATTGTATGAAACTTCCAAACAATACCAGGGAGGAAGCCCTCACTTAACATCACTGATTTACTGTCACTCCACCCTTTGCCACATCACCTTCCTTGGAAATTATGGGGAGGGTGGTGGAACGACTTTTAGTGCAGTGCTTCCTTGAACGGTCTGAGAAAACAGGTGCAGTTTCCTGACACTGGGGAATTTCTATCCTCCTTTCTTCTATCAATTCCTCCTTTTTAAAAATGAAAGATTTTTGACATTGTTACCCTGAGATAACAATGTCTCTCTCCTTGATCACGAACACACGGAGGTATTTCAGCTATATCCTTTTGGTGACTCACTGCCATACTGTTTTCCATCAAATGGTGAGAGTTTTTTCAGATCATATGAGAAGACAATGACTCATCAGCTCCTAATATTGTCAGAAAATGTTGACTATCATTTAGCATCCCTGAAAGATTTAAACACTCTGAAATAGAAATTAGCTGCTACTTTCCTTATCTCCCCACCTCCTGCCCCCTCACATTCCCATAATGCGCTGGTATGTTTGGCTCAAAAGAGATCGTAACTTCCCTAAAGCAAGATCCCAGTATAATACTGGCCAACACACATGTTGGTGTTAGCCCTGTTTCTAGATATATTTGCTCTGTGTGTCATACCAAAAGCACAGATTTATGATACAAACTTTCCAGTCCATATCTAAGAAACTAGAGCTGATGAGGTCTATCCTGTGCAATCTTCTGAGTCAGTGCTCCAAATAATCCAAGGAACAATCCTAAAAACCAAAACGCCAAGAATTTCTTTTTTGTTGGAATATGCAATCAATCAATCAATCTAGTGTCAAAGGCTTTCATGGCTAGCTAGTACTGGTCCTGCCTTACTCATGCAACCATTTATCAGGTCTCCCTTACTTCCAGATTGGATTTTCCCTGTTCTCTGTTCCCTCGTGTCCTCATCCAAACTGTAACAGCAAAATTCTTTTGAGGAAATCATATTTATACAGAAGATTGAGATCTTAATTCAGGATTGGCTCTGACGGGCTGTGAAAAGAAATCAAATCTGTATAAAAACCTGTGTAGTAAAGCAGATTGTTGTGTTGGTGTGCAAAGGGGTTTTGTGATGTTGTTTCTGGCAGCTGTTGGTATTAAGCAACAATGGCTACAAATATGAAGATGTAGGGAACAGAAGGTTAAATTCAGTCACCAAATGCAACTAGAGCAGATCTGCTAACTCAGTCGTATTTACAGAATTACAAACTGGAACTAACTATTGGATTTAGCCCAAAATCCTTGCTTCGATTTTCTTTGAGAGACTGGGATAGAAGGACAGAAAATATAAATTAATCTGAAGGTTCGGAAGGTAAAGAGGAAATAGTCTGGGGAGACAGGAAAGATACAAAGGAATGAGAGTGGAAGCAGGACAGTTAAAGGAAGCGGGTGGAGTGGTTAGTGTTTTAAGATATGGTACCCATAGAGAGGACAGGTTCTAGTCCTCTAGTGGAAAGAGACCAGAGCTTAGAAAAGTTACTCCCAGGATCTCCAGCTTGCATAGCTGGAGCAATCTGAGTCGTCATTCTAAAAAGTAAATTTTCTAAATGTTGGCGACCTAAAAGGTAAAATTTCCGAGCCATGCAGAAGACAGGGCACAGGCTCAGGATCACTAGCTGAGCCTGAAAAGATACTTCTACAAAATAATCAAATGAAATTCATAGAATCATAGAAGAGTTGGAAGAGACGTTGTGGGCCATCCAGTCCAACCCCCTGCCAAGAAGCAGGAAAATCGCAGTCCCTAGTAGTTTGAAACTTATGTATTTACTAGCCGTCCCCTGCCACGCGTTGCTGTGGCCCAATCCAGTGATTTGGAAAATAATGAGAAGGTGTTGATTACTAATATATGCAATTTCTTTATGCTTGTGGGCAAACAGTATTTCTTGCTGTTTCTTTGTCAGTGTTGATGTGGAGATTGTCTGGTTTTGCTACTCTGGAACATGCAACATATAATTGTCCTTCTTTAGGGGTCCCTTTCAAATCTACGATACTATATCTCTCTGTGTGAGAATCATATATATCTATCTATATCTATGGCTGGATGGCTCTTTGTCAGGAGGGCTTTGATTACGCTTTCTTGCACTGGTGAAGGAAGTTGGACTGGATGGCCTTAAGTATTTTCTGTTGGTCATGGTGGTTCTGTGTGCCAAGTTTGACCCAATTCTGTCGTTGGTGGGGTTCAAAATGGTCTTTGATTGTAGGTGAACTATAAATCCCAGTAACTACAACTCCCAAATGTCAAGGTCTATTTCACCCAAACTCCATCTGTGTTCATATTTGGGCATATGGAATATTCATTCCAAGTTTGGTCCAGATCCACAGTGCTGTCTAGATGTAGATGAACTACAACTCCCAAACTCAAGGTCAATGCACACCAAATCCTTCTAGTGTTTTCTGTTGATCATGGGAATCCTGTGTGCCACATTTGGTTCAATTCCATCATTGGTGGAGTTCAGAATGCTCTTTGATTGTAGGTGTACTGTAAACCCCCGCAACTACAACTCCCAAATGACAAAATCAATTTTTTGAGTGTTGGTTGCTCCTTGGATTATTTTGTCAGGTCTTCCCTCTGAAATGCAGCCTACAGCACCTAGTATTAGTTGGCAATCTCCCATCCATGAACAGAAAAGCTAAACATAGATCATCCTATTCAACCTGTTAAAAAGTTAACAGAAATACAACATCTACATTTTTTACAATGTGTGAATTAATAATTTCTCCCTACCGTACCCTGCCCACCACCCTATCAAGCAAGAAAATCGTCAATTTACTAATTGGTCTTGTGGCCAAATTTGGTGGCAATTTGTCCAGTGGTTTTTGAGTTATGTTAATCCCACAAACAAACATTACATTTTTATTTATATAGATGCTTTTTAAAAAGTAACTATTTGTTTGCCTGTTTCTCAAAAATATAATTACGTTTTAGCTAGTTCTAATAGGAGGCAGCAAGAGGCACAACACAAGCCAACAGCGAACCGGCAATATTCCAATATTACTATTTTCTGGGAGCATACCCCAGAAGCTATAATATAACTAAAGGTTATACTGTCCTTGTTGGGACTAGTGAAGAAGGTGGTGGCCAATACCTAACAGCCCACCAATTGTTCAAAATCTATTTGACAGTCACATTTTGTTTTAAAATGAAACCAAAGAATTCTGAAAGGATTGGACTTTAAACATTTAAGGTTTGGTAGTATCTCAGCATATTCTCTGAGTACTGAACTAAATATGTAGTGCATGGAGCTATAAATAACATCTACAGTAAGTTTAAAAACTGTCAGTATGGGCGAAGCGGGGGTGCAGATCAATCATTTTTTTAAAAAATAATAGAATTGCTGTCTCCCAGCAAATTAGTAGCAATATTAAGTGCAGGGAATGTATGTATCTGCCTTCAAGGTGTCTGTCAACTATGTATTGTCGAAGGCTTTCATGGCCGGAATCACTGGGTTGTTGTAGGCTTTTTCGGGCTATATGGCCATGTTCTAGAGGCATTTTCTCCTGACGTTTCGCCTGCATCTGTGGCAAGCATCCTCAGAGGTAGTGAGGTGTCTGTCAACTTATGGTGACCCATGAATTTTATAGGGTTTTCTTAGGAAAGATATCCTCAGATATGATTTTGTCAGGTCTTCTCTCTGAAATGCAGCCTACAGCACCTAGTATTAGTTAGCAATCTCTCATCCATGAACAGAAAAGCATAAACATAGATCATCCTATTCAACCTGTTAAAAAGTTAACAGAAATACAACATTTACATTTTTTACAATGTGTGAATTAATAATTTCTCCCTACCGTACCCTGCCCACCACCTCAACAAGCATGAAAGTCTTCAATTTACAAAGCCACACATTTTTAAAGTTGCAAACTCACCACCATCTTGACCTTTCAGCCTGCAACCTGGGGAGGATTAAACAAAACAAAGTCAACATTGTCAAAGGGATGAACAGAAAAAATAAAAATAGTTGACGGTAATGAAGTTTTGTTCACAACTTACACTGTAAAACGATCAACAGCAAAACACAATACATCTCGTCATTGGAATCAAAGAGTAGAGGTCCACAGTGACAAAACGTTCATTAGCATTGATAATTCCTCCTGATGATGGACCTTCAACCATGCAGGACTTTCTGTGCCTTTCTCAGAAATGAAAATTTGGCAGCGTGGCTTTGCTGTAGAAGACACAGAGTGAGTATGTTGTTTCAGGAGCCTGTGCTACCAGCTGGCTTGATACTGGTCAAGTAATCATTCCCATTGCTGGAAACTGGAAGTAGCAAACAATGAGGATCTATCTGCTGCAAACAGGCAGATTGCTGCTCAGGAAGTGACTAGTCAGTCCCTTCCTGAGAGAGTCAGTGGACGCATTTGCTTTGTTCAGTTTCTTAAGGTACATTTGAAAACAAGACGTACTGGTGATACTTTTCCAGTGGTTTGATTCATTGTTTTTAAACCAAATAATAATACATCACTATACTTTTTTCTGTAATTAACTTTATGCTTTCATAGAGCTCAATTAGATATACCTTTTCCTTGCTAGAGTGTCTGATAGTGATTGAAGCACAGTGATAGTGTAGTCCCAAGTGAGACAAAAGGCAGTCTTTCCCCTGATTTTATTATTAAAAGTTACTTAATAAATGTAGAGGTCAGAGGCAGCCATTTTTGATGAGATTCCCCAAAAATCCGTAATAATAACACTTTAATAATAACACTTTATTTGTACCCTGCTACCATCTCCCTAAGGGACTCGGCGCGGCTTACATGAGGCCAAGCCCAAATACAACAATACACGCAATAATAACAACAATACAAGCAATTAAAATAAAAAACATTGACAATAAGATATGCAACATAAACAATAAGACAACACACAGTTAAAACTGCGGGAAGGCCAAATGTAAAATTAAAATTGAAAATAATGCTGGAGCATGGGCAAAAAGGTGGTAGTGGCGTTTGTGGAAACATACAAGCAGACCTAAAATGTAAAGTGCTTCGGAGGACAAAGTGCTATGGGATCATTATTCTGGGAAGGCACGCTGGAACAATTTGTATCTTTCGTTCTTGAAGACAAAAATACCGCCCTCCTTTCTTCCTCTCCTTCTCTCATTTTCTGTCCTATCCATTCAATCTATATAAATAAAAATGTAATCTTCGTTTGGGGGATTAACATAACTCAAAAACCACTAGACAAATTGACACTAAATTTGGACACAAGACACCTATCAGGCCAACAAGTGACCATCACCCAAAAAACACTGAAAAACACAGCAGAAGAGACTTTAAAAGCCAAAAAATAAAAAATACATTACAACGTATGCACAAAACCACATATATACACATATACACAAATATATACACACACAAAACACATATACACAGACTGGGCTACAGCAACGCATGGCAGGGGACAGTTAATAATAATAATAATAATAATAATAATAATAATAATAATAATCTTTATTTATACCCCGCCAACATCTCTCCGAAGGGCCACGGTAGTCCACGCTCTGGTTACATCCCGATTAGACTACTGCAACGCTTTCTACATGGGGTTGCCTTTGAAGACGGTTCGGAAGCTTCAACTAGTCCAACGTTCGGCAGCCATGATACTAACAGGAGCAGCGCACAGGGAGCATACAACCCCTCTGTTGCGCCAACTCCACTGGCTGCCAATTTGCTACCGGGCTCAATTCAATGTGCGGGCGTTGGCCTATAAAGCCCTAAATGGTTCCGGCCCAAGTTACCTATCCGATCGCATCTCTGCCTATGAACCCACTAGGACTTTGAGATCTTCTGGGGAGGCCCTGCTCTCAATCCCGCCTGCAACACAGGCTCAGTTGGCGGGGACGAGAGACAGGGCCTTCTCGGTGGTGGCCCCTCGGCTGTGGAACGCCCTTCCCACAGACATTAAATCGGCTCCATCGCTAATGGTATTTCGGAGAAAAGTGAAAACCTGGTTATTTGAACAGGCGTTTGAATAGGCAGTGCAATGAATATAGGAACGGAACAACGGATGACGAGTTTGGATCATGTTTTCAGTTATGAGACACCAGTGAATGGTTATTGTTGTTAATTGATTAGTCTGTTATTGTGTTAATTGTTTTAATATCTTTTTGTTGTCGCATTGAATCTTTGCTGCTACTGTTGTTAACTGCTGTGAGTCGCCTAAGGGCGACTCATAGCAGTTTTATTTACTTTATACAAATAAAGTAAATAAATAAATAAATAAATAAATTTACATGAGGCCAAGCCCATCAAATACAAATACAACAATACATTCAAGATGGCTTACAACAATTTTAAATTACTGAATCACAAAATACATTACTATCAACTTAAAATACACAGAAATTCATTTGAAGTATTGAATGTTTGCCTTTTATATGTGTGTGAAACACCCTGAGTCCCTCTGGGGAGTGGACAGTCTACAAATAAAGTATTATTATTATTATTATTATTATTATTATTATTATTATTATTATTAGCACAGCAAAAGCAGGTATCTCATATAAATTCTGTTGTCTATAAAGTAACAGAATTTCTACCAGAATATATGTAGAAATCTACCAGAAAAAATGTCTTAATCTATTGCCAATTGGAGCTCCAAAATTTCACAGATGGAAAAATGGGTTATGTGTGGCCAAGCTTTATTTGATTGTGGTCAAGATTATGGAAGTTATTGAAGAGGAAAAACACACAAGGTAATTGCTTCAGCAGTTTGCTCTTGCCCAAGCTAATTGGGAAGGACTCGGGTTGCATCGACACTGTAGAAATAATGATACCACATGAGCTGCCATGGTATAATGTTATAGAATCCTGGAATTTGTAGTTTGTGGAGGCACCCACTCTCTTTGGCAGAGAAGGCTAAAGATCTTGTAAAACTACAGCTCCTATGATTCCATAGCATTGAGCTATGGCAGTCTAAACTGCATCAACCCTACAGTGTAGTTGTGCCCAAGGATTTGCCACATCTTCTTCCTCCCACTGAATAACTGAAGTGCAAACTACCCCTACACTTTGAACTCAGGCTGTAGAAAACTGAGGACAAATTAGGAAAATGGGAGCAGGAGCAAGAAAAATTAAACATTTCTAAACAGCTGAAAAAGTAGAATGAGAAAGGATTAATAAGGATTCTCCCTGTCAAAGCAGGACAGTTGGACTGTAAGGCAAAGCTGGAAAACATGTAGCTCTCAAGCTCCCATCACCAACAGTATCTTTTACCCTGGACACATCCTGTCTCTTCTGATTTTGGGAGTGAACCAGGGTTGGACCTGCTTACTACTTTCTTTGTAAAATAGTAAGCAAAAAACCTTCTTTGGAGGCCAATTGGAGAGGTTGGATGACCATCTGTCAGGGATGCTTTGAATGCAATTTTCCTGCTGCTTGGCAGGACGTTGGACTGGATGTCCCACAAGGTCTCTTCCAAATCAATGATTCTATGATTCTATACTTGGATGAAATGTGACCAGAGATCTCCAGGCAGGATTGAGAAAGTATCCTGCCTGAAAAAAAATGGAGAGACATTGATGCCACTCGAAGTAGATAGTAGATACTAATACCCGGCCTAGACCACAGTTTCTTAAACCATTTCCATTTGTGAGGTGAAATGATTTCTACCCGAAATATGTTTACATGACTCCAGGTATATGAAACAGGTCAATATTCCTTTTTGTGGAATACAGTTGAAGCATCTTCTGCAGACTCCATTGTAAACTCTGCATGTTGTTGCTAACAGATTTGTGTAAATGTCTAGGTGGCATTCAAAACCTTTTCCTGTTGCCAAATTTTTCAGGACTCCGACACTGAACTGAGGGGACCCCAGTTGCAGGCCCGTAGTCAGGGTTTTGATTCGGGGGACAGAGTTTGATTCAGGGGAGATGAGATTGATTGGGGGGGGCTGAGTTTGATTTGGGGGGGCTGAGTTTGAGTCAGAGGGGCTGTGTTTGATTCAGGGGACTGCGTTTGATTCAGGGGGGCTGAGTTTGGTTCGGGGGGCTGATTTTGGCTCAGGGGGCTGAGTTTGGTTGGGGGGGGCTGAGTTTGGCTCAGAGGGGCTGAGTTTGGTTTGAGGGCTGAGTTTGGTTCGGGGGCTGAGTTTGGCTCAGGGGGGCTGAGTTTGGTTTGGGGAGCTCAGGATCTACCCTAGCAAACCTTTTGTATCATTATCTCAATACCCCCGTGCATATGGAATATATTGAGCATGGTGATCAGATCATGACATGAACAAACATAACAGTTTAAATAATGTAGCAGTAAGGCCTTCTTGCGGACCACCCTGAGAATTTTGGCTATGGGCCTGCTCAGTTGAGTTGGGACCCACAATTTCAGAACCAGTGCCTTAGATGATTCAGTGGGGTGGCTTAGTATAAGGCAGACTCTAATGTTCCTTTCTCTCACCATTGTCAGAGCTGAAGAAGATTGATGGAAGTTGGAGTCTAACCCTAACAAGATAAACCCTAGTTTCCTCAACCCAGCAACAGTGCATCATCTCATGCATACTAGAAAGCAATAAGTGTGCTATTTCTAAGAACTCCAGAACATTGACATCTTAGATATTTAAGTGCACTGTGCCATACTATAGATAGCAAAGGATGTACAGAGACTACCCGTATATTCCGGCATATAAGATGACTGGGCATATAAGACAACCCCCAACTTTTCCAGTTAAAATATAGAGATTAGGATATACTCGCCGTATAAGACTACCCTTCCAACACACACCAAATAAAAATTTTAAAAGCATGAGATTTGATTTCAATATGGTAATTTTCCTATTACTGTACCTCCTTCTCTGCCTCGCAGATCTCGCACATGCGCACCTGCACCACTTCAATGCAGTCTTCAGGAGCGAGATCTGAGAGGCAGAGGAGGAGGTACAGTAATAGGATACAAGGGCGGGCCAGACAGGTAAAAGATTTGTGTTTTTCTGGGCCCAGAGCCACTCTATCTCTTCTTTCCATACCCCGGGCACCCTGGACGCCTGCAGATTGCTCCACCCTTCACTTACACCTTCCCGGTGAGGTGCCCCTTCACCTCACCATCGGGACCGCATTAAGTCCATGAATCCTGATGAATGGATTTTCTTCTACCATACTAGTACAGCGCCACCCTTAATGCTTTCATACAGTTGCTACATATGGCAGGGACGCGGCCACTGCCATTTTTGAGCTCCCCCCACAATATGCAGCAAACACAGATTCTCCAGTCCAGATTGGAAGTTTCAGCACCCGCTCTATAAGACAACTCCTGGAGTATAAGACTACTCCCGCATATAAGACGACTCCCGCATATAAGACGACTCCCAT